ATGACCTTGCAGATAGGTGACCTCTCTTACTGCTTAATAGACTTTGAAATCCAGCTGACATGTGGAGTTCACTGTTTTCAGTGGTGAAAGGGAAGTTATTATTTTTGGTTAGATTTTCTGTTCTGATCCCTGAAGACCACATGAAACCTGGCTACTGTCCTGGGACTTGTAGTTCAAGTTATTGTCTTTGTAGTCCCTGGAGTTAACCTAATAGCCTGGGATCTTACTGTAGAAAACATTTGGAGAAAAATGAATTTATGTTGTATTTCCTGCATATTTTTGATAGCTGCTTGGCCAGACTAACAACATCCCTCCTTGTACTGTGGGACAGTAATCTTTCAGCTTTTGATGGTCTTTTACAGAAGGAAATCTGGATAAAAAATGCAGTGTTTCAAAATGAAGGCCAAAGTTTACTCAGAATAGGATCAAAGTGGAATTTAAAACACACATACAGCATAGATGTAGCCTTTTCCTCTTCTGTGGTCTTTACTACACTTCTACAGGAAAGTTGTCAAAAACTAAACTGTTCCACACCAAATGGGAGGATACTGAATACGAACTAGTGGGGGGAACCAGGTGTTCCAATCCACTTAGGTGGGGAGAGACGAAGTTTGTCTCGATCCACAAACGTGGAAAAGTATTAGGTTCTAATCCACCCAAAAGCGAGATTAATGCACAAATGAGGCCAGATGTTGGATTCCAAAATGATAATTCAACTTTATTTTCTAAAACAAAAAGAGAGGAGGGAAAGTAGGAAAACAGAAAAGTAGGAAAAGCCAAGAGAAATTACTAGAAGCACAGAAAAGTGGTTACCACCACCATGGGCTCAGCACTGGCTTGTAGATTCAGTCCTCCTGAGTGGAGGAGATCTCCACTGGGCTCTGATCTCTGGTCTTTTGTCTTCTATCCCCAATCTCCTCTCTGTCTTCTGCTGTCTCTCATCCTTGTCGATCTTCTTCTATAGTCTTCTCTTGTGATCTCTTGTCCTGTGCTCTCTCTCTGCAACCTGTTGGGCACTTATATGCCTTTGAAGCAACTGCAGGTCTCACAAGAAGTTAATTTCGATAGAAACACACCACAGTAGGGTCTGGGTGCTCATTGGCTGATTCATTGATATCCAAGAAAAATTCGCCTGGTATACCTTATTTGGTAGAGTATATTTAGTTGAAGTCCTTACCATGTAATAGTTTTTTAATTAAAGAGATGGTTTTTTAATTAAAGCAACTTGCCTTTTACAGTTTTTCAATTAAATCTTTTTGTTTCATGTCTCAGGCAATGGCAAAGCATATATTGTTTTTTACACCAGGTTGGATGGGGCCTTGAGCAGCCTGATCTAGTGGAAGGTGTACTTTCCCATGGAATGGGGGTTGGAACTAGATGATCTTTAAGGACCCTTCCAACACAAATCATTTCATGTTTCTATGATTTTAAAGCTGTATCAAGCCCCTTCCGCTCCTCAGGCAATCAAAGAAAATTATTTACTCCAAGGGAAGTAGAGATTTAAATGTATGTTCCTTAGAAAGCCTCTTACCCTGTGTGCCACGTTTGCCCATGTGCAAACACTTGCACAGCCACATCTTTTAACATCGGTGAGCTCTTGCTTTACACCAGTGAGTTGTACAACAAAAAGAGGTTGATTGCATATGATGTGAGAAACAAGCCTTCAGGCAGGGAATTGCTATTTTGGGATATTTCTGGCTTTGGTGGATAATCCAAAAACGGAGTAAAACTAGTCTTCTACACATCTACTAACCTAAAAAAGGAAAGTTTTTTACCAAAGGACTCCAGAGCTTCACCATCAGCACAGGAAGGACTGGCTTCCACAGCTTTTGACAGAGGGTGTTGTCACATTGCTCCAGGAGCACATTCTACTGAGGTTGTTTTCTCAGGCTCCAGTGCCTGTGTCAGCTGGCTGCTGCCGGACACGTGCAGTATCCTGGAAGCCTCCTCTCTCCCAGTATCAGGTTTGGGGAAACTTCAGGGGACACAGAAATCTGTAGTTTTGGGGTTGCCATTTTAGAAGTTGTGCCACTGTGTGCTACCTATAGGCATAAAAGTAAGTTCTTAAAGATACTAACAGAAACAACACCTAATTTTTTATAAAAATAATTTATTGTAATGAATGCAAGTAATTAACTCCTCAAAATACAGTAGCTCAGTGAAAGTCTTAAAAGACTAATGTAAACTACAATTAATTCTCTTTTAAGACTTTCCTTGGACTACTATGCACTAATGTTTTATTTTCATCTGCTTCTCTTTGAAAAAACCAAAACCAACTGGTTACAGTTCTCAGCCAATTTCATACATTTTTGTGCCTTCATTTGGAACCCGCTTCATATATTTGCCAACTAATTTAAAAGAATTATTGCATTGCAAAAATATTCAGAAAACCTGGATGCAATTGATTTCTGTAAGACATTTTGTTCTACAGGAAAAAAAATTATCCATTGTTAACCCTTTAATCCCTGTTGGTCTGTATCACAATTACTTCCACATGCATCTTTAAAAAAAATTAAAACCCACTGCATTAAGCAACTATCCATCTGCAAAGTCTATTTTTAATTGGAGATTTACAATTTGTTATTCTGTGCATGTACTCTGGATTTTTGGAACCCCAAGGAACAGTAACAGACTTTGATGTGTGTGATCCCTCTTTCTCACCCAACCCAACTCATTCTGAGCAACTGGCCTTGCCCATGGGCAAAGCTGCCTTGGATGACACCTGGTACAACCCAGGTAAGATTTTTCAGAAGTATATGTGTGGTATTTATAAACAATTACAACTGTAGACACAGGATTCATCATTAGAGCCACAGTTAAAACAACTGGAGTGTCTCAAGTGGGGAAGAGGAGGGGGCTTATTCCTGAAGTGGCACTGTAAGTGATAAAACTCTAAATAACTGAGGTTTTGCCTGTCCAAGTTTGCTTTCATTTCATCATTTTGTTAAAGGACAAAAAGAAAGAAAAAAACCACAAACCAAAAAGCCTTTAGTATTGCTCAATGTGAAAAAAACACAAACACAGAAATTAAGAGAAGTGATGTGTGAGAGTGAGCCCTGACAGGTAAATGGGTTTCCAGATGCTTGAGCTCTCCCATTCATCACAACCATTTTATTCTTTAAAAAGCAGCCCCTCCCCCCCCCAAAAAAAAGGAAAAAAAACCAAAAACCAAAACAAACAAACAAACAAAAAAACCCAAACCAATAAACATTTTCTGGGCTAAGAAACAGGATGCTGAGAACAGGATGAGCTGAAAGAGCTTTCTCATCCTGGCTATTTATTTGATCTTGAGATGAAATGAAATATTGAATTGCATCATCCTTTCTAGAAATTACAGCAAATCCTAACATATTTGGATCAAGAAATTTGAGTCACTCTTCCTTTAGACTGCTTTTTCATTCTCTGCTTTACTCTTGCTGTGTCCTGGATGTCTTTTTGGTTCTATTTCTTAAGAATTGGGCTTAGCTGTGCAAGGCTGTCAGAACAGCAGCACTGCCGTAAGCCCATGATGAAAAGACAGTTAAAATGTGTCAAGCAAGCTGATGATGGCAGATGTTAGGCACATCTTGAAGTGTCTAAAAAAGTTTAAAAATAATAAAATCATTCTGTGCAGGCATATTTCCTACTATAGAATAAACTGTATTTCTTTAAGAGACCCAATGCAATAAATGAAAGCTGTATTTTGTCTTTTGTCACTCCACCTACTTTGCAAACTACCTTGAACTCATTAATTTTATTTTGTCCAGCGTTAACCTGGCTCTGACTTTCAAAGCCGAAACAAAATGGTTTCAGCCTATATCCTCTATCCTTTCTGATTTCTCATTATTCACTACAAGTTTACTTGCTCTTGCAGGGATTTGATGAGACTAGTGTTCGCAAAGAACTTTAGTATAGCTGAGCTGAATTTGCAAGAGGTAAACTGTGGGTGCTGTTTATGTTGCTGACCTCTGGGAAGAGCATTTAGAAACATGGGATTTTGGGTGGAAGAGTTCTCTGCATGTTATATCCTTGGAAAATAGAACAATGCTATTGCTGTTCTGCTTTTCTCAGTCTTAGAGTGCTTCAGAAACATGCCTTTTGTAGTTTACTCCTGCAAGCTCTGTTCCTACCACCTACTTCACACGGACATGTGAATGGATCAGGTTTGACATATCTGGCTCTTCCAGATTTAGAGCACTGAAAGAAAACCGTCATGCTGCATTTGACAACTCTTTGGCTGTGTATTCCATGATCCCCTGAGGCTTCTACCTCCATTGAGCAGTCTGTCACCCTGTCAATTATTTTCCCAGATTTGTTTCAACAACCCCAACTGTCCTTCTGCCAGGTAACTTCTTCCATTACCTAGAGGTTGCTAAATAGAGCGTCCTGAACATCTGTAACAAACACACAATCTGGACACAGTCACACCTCACCTCATCCCACAGAGTAATCACCACCCTTCTCTGCAACCTTATTTTCTGGATTTGCAATGGTAAAGAACATGTATCTTGGAGACCCTCATCTTGGTAGGTCCATCAGTCACTGTGCTGTCAACATGGCAGGCAACTACCATGCAAGTCATAGTTCAGGCCAGGAAAAGACCCTGCCCCAGGTGAGTCTGATACAGCCACTCTGAGGGAGCCGTAGAAAGAGCTACAGGAGCAGTGTGTTACCATTCAAGCTCTTCCCAGTGCTACAGAGAATGCCAAAATTGCCTTCTGTACTTCATTTTAGCTTCCAAAATCTCTTGCCAAGCACAGAACGAGAGCTAAGGATTTGTGCTGGCATCTATTTTGAGAAAGTTATCTGGAGGACAGCATGGGAGTCAGAGAGCTTGTGAGAACTGCTTTCACTAGGCAAGAGCTTCCTAGGTTCCCAAAAATGCTCATGTATCACAGCCCACAGGAGCTAGTCCAGATGCTCTGGGGTAGTTAACCAACGTGTAGCAACTGTAGTAAGAGCAGATGTGTGTTGTAAACTACACCTGATTCAACATGATGAGCACAGACGCACAGTACAGCTGATACACAGATAACACAGGTTTAATTATCCACAGTTTGATTATCCGGTGTTGACATGGTTTTTATGACTAAGTTACCCTCGAGACGCTCAGAATCTGGAAATTGCAACCACAGATAAAAATTTCCTTGCAGCTACATAAAGTCATAGTACTTTTCTGACAAATTTTGGCTGGGAGTTTTGAGCATTTTTAACTTATCGAGTTTGCATTGCTTTTTACAAGGAGTGAAGTCTTAAGGCATAAATCATTGACTTAAAGGAAAACAACTGTGTAACAATATTACAAGATATACAGAACAGGATGCGCTTGGATTCCAGTTTCTGTTCACTGGCTCACAAGAGACAAGGATCATAAATCAAAAATAAAGAATGGAAATCAAAGAAAAGTAACAGGAAGTGTCAAAATGAAAACCTGGCAGAAATTACCAATAGGAGGAAAAGAAAAAAGACTCCAGATGTTTTTTTAAAAAAATAAAAACTTGGGAAAGATTCAGAGAACAAAAGATCTACAAGCAGAAAAGAAAAAATGATAGCTTGGGTGGGGGGGCTTCTCCTCTTTCTTTCTCACATACAAGCCAGGTCTACAGTGAGGTAAGAAAATATGTATCTACTAAGATGAGGGAGGCAACGAGGGAAAAAAACATACAGACATCACCTCCCCTCCTTTCTTCCCATGAAGCACAGCTCTGGAAACGTGATCCTACAAATATTTTAATGGGGCTTACAATTCAAAAGGTTCATTAAATTCAGGATTATTACCACAAGAGAACTTGATCAGAGCAGCCAGGCTGTAATGTTTAAGAGGCTCCTTATTCACACATACCTACAGGCTGCAGCACTCACACGGCCAGAAGCATGTGAATCCCAGCCCTGCCAGAACCAAGCTTTTTCCTTTGGGGCCATCTGCTGGCTCTCCTGCAGATGCTTCTCAGGACCTTTCTGGGAGGGTGATTGGTTTATCAGGTGCATCAAAGGTGCGTGGTGCTGGAGCCATTTGGTATGATTTCTCATGGAGCTGTGGTCCAAGCTGTGCTGGAGGTTCCATCTCTCTGTCCCATATGCCACTCTAATTCCCACGGATGGTGCACATTCTACAATCCATATTCTGAAGACTTAAAAAAAACCAAATCCAGCCCCACTTCCAATACTTCCCTTGTGACAGAGATGGTTTCGCCCCTTCCCCATGTATGTGCTATATTTAATCAAAAAATGGTCCTAAATTTTAATAATTTTGAGGGTAAAGCATGCTAAATCCTTTCTCCAACAACTCCAGCCAACATTAATCTATTCGCCTAAGACTTTCAAACAGAACTGTGAGAGAATTAATTTGCAGACTGATACTTAGAAAGAGAAGGTTGTTACTTATCCATGTTTAATTTTTCTAAGAATCAAGCTTAGTCAATAGACTCCCAACTCAAGAATAGATTACATTTTTATTTGTACATGATAATTTCAGAGTAATTTTACCAACTGGCATATATTTGTATCATGCTGCTACTAACTACAGCGTACTGTTGTAAATTCCTTTTCAAGCTGCTTAATTCAAGAATGGCTAAATGCTTAAGGCTATCATAAAACAACCCAACAGAACACCAAAACCCAATAACCTACACACACTGCCCCAGTGAATTCAAACACCTTTCTCCCTTCATCCCCCAGCATGCTTTACAAATTTTGACTGTTTGAACAACATTCATGAACCATACTGTAACATGAAGAAACTTTCAATCCTAGCACATTCCATACAAAAATAATCTCATGTTATAAGGAAGAAAAATATCCCCTATTATTAACAGAAAATGTATGCTGACCCACTACCAGCAATTTGCATCTGAAAAGCTTATTACCTTTCAGACTAGAGAGAGAGACTGATATGCTTTCCATTTTAAAAACTCCAGTTCCTATAATTCAAAATTATATAGCTGGGCTACATATTATTTGCATTTCATTTAAGCATTAAACTTTGTTCAAAGTTTCTCTACTCGGCTCCTTTGCACTGCAGCCACATCTATTCAAGTACGAGGAATTAGGAAAGCCACTTGCTATATATACTGGATCAGATTGCATGCAGTTACATGTGAAAGTGCACTGTGAAGCTACAGTCCATCTGACCAAAGGTTTCTAAAATGAAAATGATGAGTTTCTGTATATTGTTACAGCATCCACTGCTTTGAGGAGAAAAATGAAGAATATGCTTCTTTAGAGATAAAGAAGATCGTGATAATGACCCGTTAGAAATCCTTAGCAATGCAGACATCAAAAGTAATACTAGGTCTGTTTATGCATTAGTTATTTTCTTGAATAATGCTAAAAAGCCTTTTAATTATTTTAGAATCTTAGAGATGTTGGGGCTCAGAATAACCTCAAATTTGAGACAAATTAGAAAGGCCACAGAGTACAAAACAGGCATTCTTTGGTATTTTTGGCATTCTACTGCGTTGCCATTATACTTAAACCTCAATGGTAAGTCTTGCAAATCTGTACTGTAAAGATGCTGGAGTCCTTAACAAAACGAGCCCTTTCTTATCTGCTGGCTGGTTGTATAACATATAAATTAACCCTGTCAAGCTAACAAAACCCAGAGCTTCTCCACACCCTGCAGCCAATGAAAAATCCCCTCGAGTGACATATCCCAAGACAGTCCTGGAGCAGTGGGAAGTAACATCTGGGAGAGCATCTGACCAAAGACCAAGAATGAGGTCTTCGTGGTCTTCAGTTGTGTCTTTATCTGGAACGCTCAGAGGGTCACCTTCTAAAGCCTTCGTGCCACCCTTTTTCTTCTTCTTCTTCTCTTCTTTTTGTCTCTGTACCTTGTCCTTGAATATGTCACGATGTTTGGGTTCTTGAGGACCACAGAAGAGTTTGTCTTTGCTTAGATGCAGCAAGTCGTCTTCTGTTGGGATGCAAATCATGGCATGTAATTCAGGGTTCCCCTTTCTCAAGAGTGACAAGTTGACCCAGACAAGAGCCCTTGGATAGCTCATCAGGATTGGCAAAAAAACATCTTCAGTCATTTCTTTCTGTCGCAGTCGAGAAATAAGACGGATTCGCCGATCTTTTCCAGCAGTGGGATAGCACCAGGCTGATAACTGCATTAGTAGTTTCTCACTCCTATTAAAAATTTTCAAAAATAAATATCATGGATAGTTATTAACAAGCAGTACGACAGAAATCCAGCACCCCACATATTTGCAAGAGAATGATTAATAAAAACCCTGGGGTTTTCAGATCACTCTGAGCACAAAAAGAACATGGGAAATGGAATTCATGTGTCTTCTTCAGAAGAAAGGTGACACTACTTGTTAAAACCCTCAAAACCTGTTGAATCACAAATACTCTGAAACCTTCAGTGACATAATGCAGTCTAGAACTTCCAATGTTTTCTTCTCTGGTAACTACACAAAACTACACTAAGTCTTGCATTCAGGCACTTTCCAAACACTGTTGCTGCCCTCATGTGTTGCACTGGAATGCAGGGGATTCTCTATTTTCTTTGGAGTGCAAGAACCACCTGTGATGATGTATTACAGAAGAGAATGCAAGATGATTTTCACAGCAACAGTTTTAAAATCAAAAACATGAACCTCTAAAAGCTCCATCCACCTGGAAGCAGCCAGAATACGCCAACTCTAAGAACACAGTAAACTCCAGAGTGTTATATGTAAAATAATTTCAGGAACTTACTTCATCTAGTCACTAAGTTTGCTGGGGAAAAGCAAAGGACTTCCACTCAATGGGAAATTCTGATCCATGCAAAACTATTTAATCTCACTGTATTTGGATCAAATAATTCCCTTATCTTAATATTCAAGGCTGGGTTCTTCTTTTCCTCAATTCAATAATTCCCAATAAAGAAATAACATGTGTGTATCATTTTGACATACCTGAGAACAATAAAGTCACTTGTCTTAGTTTCATCTCTCTCACCAAGGTCATGGGTGCTTGTAACATCCTCTGGTTTTAGGGCACCTTCAGAACTTGTTATTTCCATGGTCTCCTCTACCTCACCAGTTTCAGGGGAAGTTTCTCTGACCACTTCTGCTTTGGGGTCACAGTAATTATGCCCTTCAGTTGTGCAGCACTCAGGGTGTGGGGAAGAAGGACGTACAAATCCTCCTGAAGCTTTCATTCTTCCTTCCCAGTTCTTTGTCAGCTGCCCCCAAGGACAGATGAAAGGAGACAGAGTGCCCAGCTTGACATAATTTGCCCTTTTTGCAGGTGGACGTCTAAATGATAAACCAAGTAAGTAGGTAAGAATATTTGTTTCCTGGGCCTTTACTCAGTGCTTAGCACTTCAAAAGGCTGTCTACTTTTTCCTGCTAGTCTAATAATGTTTTCTGTTTTCAAAATCAAGTATTTAGAGCAGAAAGCTAACTGTGCATTCCCTTTGTTATCTCATTGAACAAGAATTTTAAAGTTACAATCTAGAAAACACTGCTGTATGTTTGACGACCATATCCTTTCAGCCAGCTGGAAATGTCTATGTGCTGTGATTGACACCACCACCTTTTCCTCTGACCTTCTCCTACGTTCCCCTCCTGGCTTGAAGGGGAACCAACACCAGTTGGTGCAGAGGACACTTCCAGCTACTCCACACTCATGGTTAAGAGTTTTGTGTTTGTTGCAGTGAAAATGAAGGAAAACTTCAGAATACCTGATATTTTAAAAGTACACATTGAGATGTACTTCTTAATTCACTTTATTCTTTAACACTTGGTACGCACTTTGGTATTCTGCCTCTGCATTCTCTTACCTCCTCCCTCATTTTCTGCCTAGGGAACTTGGAATAGCTTTGTTTATTTTATTGTTTTGCAGCCTTGTTACTGTCCTATAACTGAGCATGTCTCTGGGAACAGAATGTTTTAATTCGTATGCCCTGTTTAGCAGAGTTAAATATATTTAGGATTCTTTTTTAAAATATAAGATTTAAAGCATTAGTGAAAGATGTCAATATTAAGTTCAAGTTTAAATGAACACAATGACAGATAATTAAGGGAATATTTTAAGCAGTATTCCTTTTTGTCATTCTTGTAATTAATTTTTAAGTTAATATTACCGTTTGAATTGTTCAAGAAGACTGGTTTCCAGTTCTTTGGCAAACTGCCTTCCTGCCTGGCAGTCTGGGAAATCATTTGGAATGTGAGGTGTTCTTTGATATTCAGAATGCTTTAATGCTTCTTGCAAGCCACCGACACGTACACCTTGATATATCTGTTATAAAAACCAAACACCCAAAAAGCAATGTTTGTACTGATTCCAGCTTCCTAACTGAAACAAAAACATTAATGCTCCAGAAGGTACTGCCTTAGAAAATTGAAAGTCTAACACTTTAGCTTTCAAAAAATAAACTTAAGTATGGTTTCTACAGTTCTACATGCCTATTTCAACAAAAATGTTAGCAATGCTTTTAAATTTAATTCTGAAAAACTATCAATGAAATTGAAAAGAATTTCACAGGTTCTAATCCTGTACATTGCCGGGAATGTTGTAATACTTCAACAGTCACTGCCCAATCTATACCACACAACAGGTATCACTGCAATTAATGCCCCTGCACATTCAAAAGCATAAATTTAACTGCAGAAAGATATTAAAACTGCCACCTAAACATTCAAAGCAGGATGCTCCAAACAGCATCAGAGAAGTATTCAAGGTTAACTCAAATTTTGTGTTTCAAGATCTCTCCCAAATCAGAGGCAACCAGTTTGTTGACAGAGGTGGAGATAGCCAAGCTGAAAATAGATTAGCAGCAGGCACTAAATGATTTCTCTTTAGAGACATATCCCTGCAGAAACACAAAACCAGAGTGCTATAGCTTCAGCTTCCCCTCCTGACTCCCCACTGACTGGCTGCTTTTAGATGCTGCTATGTGGACATAGTTATACCCAACAGAAGATATTGTTTAAAGTTTCAAGGTCAAGCTTCAGTCATCAAATCGGTTCATACGCGCTCTTTTCAAGTGGGATTTTGATCCTGTAATTGTGAATTGGTTATACAATGTGAAGTATACTCTCTAAAATTGATTAATTTAAACCAAATTATTTGTCATATTTACTTGCAATTTGGCATCAAAGTCACTTACAAAAGGAATCCAGAAAGCCATGCCCCAGCCCTTTGGGAGATAGATATCCCAGCCACTCCCCCATCCTGGTCGATCTTCTCCAGCCATTTTCCCTGGCTGCTGCACCAACAGTATGGGAATCTTAGATTCACAAGGACCCAAATCAAGGTGTGATCCAGGTACCAGTAACTGAGCTCTCATATGGTTTAAATCCTGAGAAGGAGGAGACATTTCCCAGAAGTTAGTAACCATTCTTCTTCCCTCTTCCAGATACCCTTCCAAGATACAAAGAAGAACTGAGCTTACAGTTAGAAAAAATATTCTAGGAATATACTATATATTTTAACAGAATTTTATCAGGGTATGAAAAATTATTTTAGAAGAGTATCAAGCACCCTCTTATCATTCTTCTTACTTCTGTAGTCCTTGATGGAGAGCAGGTACTGAAACTCAGGGAAAAAAAATGTACAACACAAATGAAGGAGGAAAAACAAACATTGCAACATCGTATTATAGATTTGTGCACAAGACTAGACTGAACAGGTGCTTTCAGACAGTTTGTCAATACATAGAGCAAATCTGAACTACATCCAAGGAGATGGGAAGAACATTTGGTCATGAAACAGTTTCACATAAAGCATGCTGGCACCAAGGCTTTGTCAATCACCAGTTGTTATATTCCATTGTACCACATTAAGAATACATTTATAAAAAAATAGACCATCAGACTCCCTCTGTTTTATAAGGTAAACATTAAATTTCATGATAGCATGAAAAACACTGTCATCTACAAAAAGATTGTGCTGACAACTGTCATGTGCTAGCGCAATATTTTCCAAGTACTCTCCTTTTTTAACACTCTGTCAGTCAGTTTGAAAGAGCACAAAACTAATTTTCATAAAGAGAATATTTATAAAGATCTTTCTGCCATGCAAGTGTTTACTCTTTCTGATTACAATGGTGCTGAAAGTTTATCACCTGTTTTGACTAAACCACCACATAAAGCACAATTCACCCACGAACCCTATGGGCTGCTCCTCCATTGTGAATGAAAATGTCAAGATAGATTTCAAACCTGCAACAGCAAATTTAAAGTTCTCTACAAATCACAAGTTATTGCCCAGAATGCCCACAGCATAGTGTGCTGCAGTTCAGAACCAGAGGATTTATTTCCTTCCAACTTCCGCGGTTCTTTTATCAGGAGAATAATCCTGGCTATGAGTGAAAGGCCAGAGCCTCTCTCTGCCACTTATCCCTCTTATCTGCTGCACTTGAGTCAAGGTGATGTAGGAAAATCTAATTCCAAACTCTTCTGATAAATAAACCTACAACTATTTAGTTCTGTAGACAATGCAATAAAGCTTTCTTTTAACTGAGTCATGAAAAATGGTTGTGCGAGAACATTATACAAAGGCTACAAAAAATCACTTCAAGTCAGCAACTGGATACTATGACATTAGGAAACTACTGATCGACCTTGGATTTATAGAAGTCTCAAGAGCCTCTTTCTATGGACTCTAAGGACCACTAGCCATTTTCTCTGTGGCAATCCACCTACTTAGTTACCTGCTCTGAGATTTTATTTTCAGTGACGTTCTTACAGATGTCCTGGTCCCAGATAAAGCTGTGAGCACAGTCTAGGGGTACACCCTCCAGGTACAGCTGCCTAACTTTATCTAGAAAAGAAAAGAACCTTTAAACAAAATTCAAACAAATTTGTGGTTTAAATATCAAATTTCCAAAATCACTCCACTATCATAAGTACTATGGGTAGACAACCAAGGAAAGACTATTAAAAGCTTAACAAGCATCACTGCTTCTGGAGTAGGTTCCTATCATGTTTTTCCAAATACCAAATACGAAACAAACTGTTAGAAGAACTAACCTGGCATTTTTTTACCAGCATTTCTTATTAGAAATGACAACACCTTTGGCAACCTAAATTAGATCTTTACATGCCAACTTTAATGTTCTGGAATTTGACCTTTCAGGCAGAGTGTGAAATTCAACAGGTTTGCAGAAAATCAGGAAGAGTAACATTACAAATCCTGAAATAAGTCTGCCTAAGTAAACTTGTAAGAAAAGTATTACCTTTAAGAAATGTACATACAGGAAATATTTGTATGGAAATGACTAGCACGCAACTACTTATTTAGCACTAGCTTTCCATTCTGGATCTTTTCAGAGTCTGCACTTCAAGGAAGGGACTATTCTTCCTTATGTCTGCACAAATCAACAGCTGTGTATGTTACTGACGATAAATAACACTTCTAGCTTTAAAACTTATGTTGAAGTATTAAATACCCTCTCTCTTCTGTTTTGCGATCTAAGCAAAACAAAGAAAGTATATACCTACCTTTAGTGATCTGTGGATTAAAAGCCTTCAGTGTACAGTATGTAATGTATGCTGATCCATATTTTAAGTAAAATAATTCTTATCCATAAATAATTCAATGAACCTATTAATAGTTCTGTGATTAAAACTTAGAGTGACTGCTCCTCATTTTGTCATCTACAAGGTCTTACACATTAAAGGAACAGAACATGTCAGGGTTTGTTTTGTTTTTTAAAATTACTTAAGTCTTTTAAAAATGATTCCACTAATTTTTCCAGATAATGTTGACAAAGACTTGAAGCACAGAAGACAGGGACTATTCAGTAGTAATAACAATACAATAGGTACTGTCAAACATAACTGCAGTAACTGTTTATTTAAAATCCATACTCTTTAAGATGTCCCCATTACTAAAATTTGCAAAATCCTTTGCAAAAAATATTACCTATGGCACCGTTTGTGACAGTTTCATAGTGTTATCAAGTTGATACTTGCTATGCATTTGTGCTAATGAGTTAGATTTATGTGAGAATAAATGCTAAAGAAGTTATCAGATTAGGGTGACATTTCTCCAAATTAAGAACAATACAACTAAAAAGAAATTCTTGCCAATTAAGCCAGAAGAATTCCTTCTCAGACCAAAAATTAAGGACAGGAACTTGATTAAGAACCTAAGAGAGCTCAACACTCCTAGAGACAAAGCACATTTTATCTGAAGATACAGCAAATATCAATGCCCCAAAGGAAGGAGAAAAGACAGCAATAAAACTATAGGTAGTGCTGGTGGGGAATTCCTTTCTGACTCTTATTATGTGACTTAGGGCACATAATTACAAGCAAACATAAGGTAAGGAATGAACCTTTTCTATCTTCTGTACAGAAAGCATTTGCGAACACCAGAATCTCTTTATGTTAAATCATTTAAACGTGTTCTAGTTCCTTCACTGTAAATTATTCACTGTAACTTTTTGCGGTTTTTTTTAACATTTCTTTTTATTACCACAGTTCAGGCAGTCTATCCTTGTCATATTCTTGGAGTTCTTTACAATTCCTGTATACTATAATGGCATGAATGTTTTTTCCCACTACAGAAAGCCCTTTTAAGTCATTCTCTTTCCATCACCACCATGCATCCAATATCTTCCTCACTACCTTAAAATACTCTTCTCTAATTTGGTGCTTTCTTTTCTTTGATCCCCACTACCTTGGAGAATTTATTCTTTCTACTAAGCATACTGTAATTCAAACCATAATCCCAAACTCTCACACCAGTTCTTATTTCTTACCTCTCTCCCATTTTCTTCAGTCCACATTTTAAGATTGCTGGGGAAATAACCCTACTGATGAATAAGTTGCTGATGACAGTGAAAGATGTTAGGGCTAGTACAGGAAACAAGAAGTTGCATTACTAAGCACAGAAAGCTCAGTGACAGGCTACTTCTGCTGGTGTCAATAGTTGGTGCTTAGACAACACAAACAGATAGAGGGAGGTTTTGTTCCATTTCAAGCTGTTGATCTGATTTGCATAGCTGATTATCTGAACAGTCTTAGAAGACAGGCCTAAGAGTTGAAAATTCTCTTTCCTCCCTTTTGCAAAAAAAAAAAAAAGCCAAAAAAAAAAGCCAAAAAAAAAGCAGTTTCAGAGTCCTATGTACATAGGGGTTTGTGTATCAGGACAACTGAGGACAGATACCTGAAATTCTGCAAGAGACGTGTTTACACGCAAGGACCCAGGCTCTGTGTCTGCAGAAGGAACTTCAGCTCATATATCTTTCATGGTGTATTTTCCTTCTATGCATCTCATTCATCCATCTATATGCATCATTTAAAAGCTTCACCATACTCCACACTGACTGGGTTTTAAGGTCGTGGAATGTGCTTTCTCCCACAGAAGACAGTAAATACATATCAAAATGTCAGAAGTGTACTTTAAACTGGAGAAAAGAACAGCACTAATGTGCAGTCATGTGAGAACTGACTGCTTACGGGGAAGCCTTGACTTCCAGAAGGCATAAAGCTGCTGAGAAGGCAGTGAAAAATGATTTATCCTCCAGCCTGAAGAAATGAGGACAGTTTTTTGATTAAATCCCATCAGCACGTGTCCATAACACAGCTTTCACACATGCATATGCATTCAAGAGTGTGAGTAACTGGGAAAGACTGGAATTACACTTGATTTGTTAGCATGTCACTCACAGGGAAAAACTACTCAGGCATACCTTAGAACAGCATTTCGGAAAAAAAATCAATCTGGAGAGATGTGTATCAATTTCACAGAGTGCATGTATGACAATCCACAAGCAAAGATGATGGCTGTAACTTACCTAAACTATTCACTCATTTGACAAACAAATGCAAATTAGTAAAGATTGTCTAAGAAAATCAGTTAGCTTTTATATGACACTGAAGAAAAAGAAAGGCTAAAGTACATATAGAATCTGCTACCATAAGCAGTGGCATTTCAATCTTACTAATACCAATCCTAATAGCATTTGAGTGTCTGGGAAGAAAAATGGGGGAAAAGTGTGGAATACAGAAATGATTCCTTTTTATTGCTTAACCAACATGATGTCATTAAGGTAAATGAATGACTATTAATATTTTTTAAATTGAGATCAGCTGAAAATACTACCACATCTGAGTAAGGCTACAACACAAACAAGGTTCAGAAAGTTTATGTAGTTCTAAGGCTTATAAAAAGATTTTTTTTTTTTCTTACAGAAGGGGAAAACTAATACCATTGAAATGGAATTACAGATCTTAGAGAAGTCTAACTTTTTTTGGGTGGGTGTTACTGTGGAAGTGTTGATAATGCTACTGCTGTAGTGATGTATGCTATGTGCCATGATTAAATTCCTTCCTTTTCTGGTTGAACAAATTGCCCTTCAAAAAAAAGTGAAGAGGAGGGCAGTCTCCATTCCCGGGAGACTCCATTCCATTACTCCTGGCAAAAGAACCAGTAGAATGAGGGGATAGAACTGATTGGAAAAATACTAGTGAAAATGCTAAGTCAAACTAGAATAATCTTTAGGAATACATTGCTTTTGATGAAATTCTTGCTGGATGTTTCACTCATCTGATTCCAAGTCTGGCCAATAATAGGGTCCTAGGGAAGAGTACAACACTAGAATCAGTACATTGTGTTGCATTTCTTCACTCTGCCAGTTCCTTGCCTCTTGTGGCTTACAAACTTCTTCAGTTAGAGGTGATTCTTTTGCACTGAGTAGCTTGCAATAGGTTCTTCTTCATATATTTAACTGATTTTAACTTCTGCAAACCTGTCAGGCAACCAAGGAGGCTTACAGGAAAAAAGAATAAATCAAAGTGATAGACTTAGCAATGCTGGGTTAATGGTTGGACTTCATCTTAGAGGTCTTTTCCAACCTAAATGATTCTATGATTCTAACTGATGTATAAAGGCAGTGAAATAGGCAGCAAGACCCCGTGCTCTGAAGAGATTATAAACTAGTCTGAATTCAGAATGACCTTATAATGGGTCCTGAAACAGTGAATTACGGCAACAAAGTGTAATGATTGCACAGAGAACAGATTAGACATAAAATGGATTCTGCACAGTTATGTCTAGGTTTCCTTTTATTAATACATATGCAATTTTACTTTTTCTTTCAAAACCAACAAGAACCAAATGCACTGGAATGCTTTCTCCTGATTAGAAAATTATCTAAGTATCTGAGTTAAATATTTAACGTAGATTAATTTTCTAGAAGGATTTAAAAAGAAAATGTAAGTTCTCTGCTTTTAACTACTTTAACGAGGAGGCTCATTAAGGCAGAAATAAATCACAGGTAGTAGCTGACACAAAGTCAACTACAAAATTAGGTTAAGAACAAAAGTCTTTAGAGAGTAACAATAGCCTCTCTTTCCAACTAATGTGGAAGAATATTCTGAGGGAAACAGGAAAGTGGCAGTTAGACCCCAGTCTTGAGATGTGAACTACAGCACCATAGGATTCCCCCACTGCACGTGTAATACGCATGCAGGAGCTTGTGAATGATTTTTCCCACGCAGCATGAGGAAGTCAAACTTAGGTGGGAAATGTAGAAAACAGCTGCCACTTTCCCTGCTAAACCATCAGTTCCTCCTATTCTCTCCCTAATTACAGGAACGTAGGAGGGCTGTCCTCTCCTCTTCTCCTCTCTTACCGTGACATCCTTTTGATTTGCTACTGGAAGACAGCTGTATTGTCTGTCTTCTTTCATTTTTCTGCCTCCTCAACTTTTTTAGTCATGTGTAACAATAAGTCATTTAGCAGAATCTAAATTGGAAGGTATTAGGCAGTTTACTTTCTCTTGCTAGCTGAACAAGGACCTTCTCCCTCTCCTGAATAAAAGTCAGAGAGGACAGACGCAGCTTTGACTTCATGATGAAACAAAAAAAAAGACTCAGAAAGAAACCAGAAAGCAACACCAAGTTTTCTGAGTACTTGTGGTTTGGAAGATTTTTTGTAAGGATAACCCCAAGTAGAAAGATCTTGAAGATGGACATTTCTAGCTAGCCACAGGAAAAACACAAAGGTCCTCTTGACTTCCTATCTTACATCATTACCTCTTTACCATGACCATACTTCCTGAGGGACAAACAGCTCTGTCAGTGAGAGAGAAACTACTTTTAGACATTTCCAATACCTAGATGCCTTCTCTTGATCTTGCCTTCCTGAACACATCTTCAGACATGGCAAGCAGAATGAAGGGAGCCAAATTACTTTTTGCAGTTGCTAACTCCTCTATCAGCTCAAACCAGTATCCTTAAACAAGTGCTACATTGCTCACCTTACTTCTCAACAGGAAGGAACCAAAGTAGAGGTCATGTATGCTGCAGCATTTCCAACAGGAACACTAATGATGAGAAACTTAGCTGAGCAGAAATCATTAACAGAAAGGCTGTTCTAGGATGTAGAAGCAGAGGATGTAAGAAAATAAAAATAACAGAATTGTGCAGAGAGCTAAAAGATACTAACTGAAGTAGGTATTCAACCTGATTTAAGTGAAAGGTAAGACTATATTATTCTAGTGTCTTTCACTAGACGCATCTTCAAGGAAATTAAGTATTTTTAAGTCTCTGGAACTTTCAACTTATCCTATGTGCTACTGCTTGCTAGCTGGCAAGGATGTTTTGTATATTAAGTCAGTCAACCTGTGTCCATTCAACCTAATTGGGAATGCCTACACAGCACTGTGCACAAACCCCACGGTATAAACTCTTGCACATTTTTCAAGAACGTTCACAACCAGTTGAATTTGAATTTTGCACTGAAATCCTGTGTAAGTCAGCACTGAAATGAAAATTTCAGAAGTCATGCTTCCATCTTTCATTTTTTAGCATAACCACATCCTGGCCATCTGAAATACTAATCCTGCAATGTTATTATTTTTTCCCAATGAAATTGGAACTTTCATCACTGTAAGACTATAAATCAGAAATAGCAGATATCTTCTTGTAGAGATAGACAGCATCAGGAAGACTAAACAGCAAACAAAAACTTACTAAGCAGCTTTTAGCACCTGGTTGGCCTTGCCAGGATTCGAACCTGGATCATCTGTATGGTCAGACAGAGGCTTCCACTGAGCACAAGACCAGCTTTGGTGCATGTCCCTCCCTCACAACTGCTGTTCTAAAACCTATGCAACTTTCAAGCTGTTTCTGTTTGGCCAGGGGCTGTGGAAAGGGGAAGGAAGCATTCTGAAAATCAAAAGCTAAAGGAAAACAGCAAGAGACAACCCATAGGAGATGACAGTAAATGAAAAGAAGTGTAGAGAGAAACTGAAACTCCTCCCTTTGTCAGTTCCACAAGAAGCATAATATAAGCCAGGCATTTTACCTTGGTATTTTTCAAAGTCAGGCATGGCTTTTGTCTTCTTTTTTGGCAAATTGATTCGAGGATCTCCAACAGTTAGGCCAAGAATTGTACCTGGTGGCATTTCTGATGGTGAACTCATCCCTTTAAAAACACACAGATGAACAATGCCATGAAAGCACCAATTAAGTTGTGATCTTTTTCTGGACTGGTATTTTATGCATTTTTTGCCTGCAGGGATGTGACACCACCTAAGCCAGCAAAGCAATCCAGAATACTCTATTTAATGCTCTGAAAACTCTCCAATGCTTGTTAAATGTCCAAGACCAAGGAAGTCAACAACAGCAAGGCAAGACTTGGTTTGCATTTAATTTTAAGCATAAAAGTGAGGCCATGCTCAATTCATCCTTTGCATTTGGCAATTATCAAAGAACCAACAACCTTTGTTTTATACTTGTCTTCCAGAGAAAGGAAATTTAGAAATGTTTTGTAAAAGATTTACCTCATCTCTGCTTAACTGCCTCACATTGGATAGACAGCTTGAGTACAGTGTGAGATCTACCAAAGCCAGTTCCTTACCTGCTTCAGTGCTAGAAAGTGAGGAGATGTTGTTAACTTTATGATACTTTAAAATTCAGCCAAATATACAACTGTTAATTAGAAGCAAACATTTATAAAGCAAGTTATAATACTTTCACTTTGGGTAGAAGACTACCATTTTATCTGGGGAGGTATTGTACAACTTATTGTCTTAATTTGAGTGTATGAGGGGAGGGAGTAAGAGCATACATCAGACTATGTATCCCATCAGCAATCTCAAATCTAAGTTTACAAAGATAAACAAGATTCAGTTTATCTATTAACAGTTTGGACTACACAGATGATTTAAATTCCCTTAAAAACTCTGATGTAACATTTCTTAATTCTTTGCCATGCCATGGTAATTACCTAAGCACATTCTCAAAGGCATCACTTTCTGGATCATGCAAAAAATAAGCATGTCCACACTGAAGTCAACTCAATAACATGCCAATTCTGACCACTAGATTTTAAGAGTTTCCCCTTCCTCCCATAGCACCCACATGCCCAAATACCTTCTAGTAGCTCAAAGATAGCACTTTGACATTGATGAAGAGATACTTTTTCAGAGTCCTTGCAGTTTTCTACCCACCAGTTATTCAGTTCCGTCTCTGAGTCTGCCATCTCCTGGAAAACAACACATCTAATTAAACTCAAATGGTTATTTATTACTTTCTATCAGTGTGAATTCACTCTTAGTTTGCCTCAACCACTATAGTCATTTTCTCTCCCTTCATGTTTTAAACCAAAATAATTTTTTCATGATTCAATGTAGTCCTATACTTTACAGTAATCCCTAATAAACTGTTCAATTTAGCCCATGTTCCAAAAATAAAAAAGCAATGCACAATACTTCCTAATTCTGTCATTATTTCTTACAGAAAGCCAGAAATTTCATGTCCCCCATCATGTTTGCTGCAAGAGACAAAAAAAACTCCCCACCATTAAAACCACAGTGATACCATGTGCCAAGAGGCACACAAAACCCCCACATCCTGGAGGAACTGAATATTTGATTGAAAACACAAAAGTTTGCCCTTTAGTTCTAGTGCTCTAGCTCATTGCTTGAGAAAACGGTCTAGGGTTTGTCAAATAGAACACAAATTATTCTGGACCTCTCAGCAGAAAACATCACTACAGCAGAAACTACACAGCCTGCTCAACAGCACCATTATTTTTATTTTCTTCCTACTGCCACTTAAAATCCAGATAGGAGTTCTTCCTGAGATCAGCATTGATCAAGAGACCCAATACAGAGAAGATAACAAGAGTAATACACAGGTTAGCCTTTATAATAAGTAAGGCTAGATAATTTATGGTTATTTCTAGCCAAAACAAGCTTGCACATGCTAGGAACATTACTGAAATTACACTAACATCCAAACTGCCAATTTCCTTACTGTTTGGACAGAAGCAGCTTTCAGGGTCTCTGTAAGGACTGAATGTGATAACGGGCCAATCAGCCGGTATCTGAGGATCTCCATGCTTCTGTCACTGAAAGAGAAAAATTTCAAGTGAATGTACAACATACATTTTTTTTCCCCAGTACACTATTAAACCAGCTATGTTATGTAGTTATAGGCCACAGTTTCTGACTCTACTATGAACAAACCTGATTCCAATACCAGTAGTCTGTGAGATCCAAGAGTAGGACTGAAATGGATCTCTAGTGCCGTCACCAATTATTTTTTTAACTGGCACAACTTTTTCTCCTTCTTTATCCTCCTTCTTTCTTTTCTTGCCAGGGCTCATAACAACCTCCATTTGTTTTTCCTCTTGAATTGATGTTGTAACAGGCTCAGTAATACAGATTTCTTCAGGCTCCGAACACTGAAAAATTGCTTTTAACTCCCTCAGTATGTCCTTAAGAAAAACAAAGTTTGTATTAGGACGATATGCAGTGCCCTGCAAAACTTAAGTACACTTCGAAAAAATTACACTATATTATTTAATTTTCCTATTTGGATTTAAAGGAATAAACTTAATTCTGCTGAATTTAAGGGCTTGCTAACAAAAGCTGAAAGTAATATTGAACGTTACTAAGAATTTGTTCTCATGTAAATTAATATAAGAAAAATTGTTTGCGCACATTTTACTTTTTAATTTTTTTTTAAAGCTGATAGCTAAGTATCGGATTATGATTACCTGTGATGATATTAAACTTAGCCTGTTGGGGGTGCCAATGGAAAGGATGTGAATCAAGTAACATCATACTGCACATGTATCCTGAAGCAAGTGACACTACAAAACTTTTAACAAGCAAAAACAGTAAATGCCTCAGCAGCATCCACCTTCTGTACCACCTTTATAAAAACAAGCTGCAGAACATGAATATTGCTACAGCAGAAACAGTTTTCCAACTTTTAATTCCTAAAGTCATGTATTATATCCAACTCTTCCATACTTTTCAGATGACATCTTCAGCATTAATATGTACAATGCATAAAAAGATAAGAGTTCAACTATATAAAAAAACCCACCTGCTTTAGAGCTGGATGAACCCATATCCACAACTGTCTGTGTTCAGACCCATCCCTGGGTCTCCAAATAAATGTAACAGGACCAAGCATCTCCTCAGGATAGCAATCTGCTCGGTAGAGATTCAGGGAACCCTCGAATCTTCCAGACAGACAACAAGCTTCTTGAAATGTTAATCCTAAAAGAGACCACACTTACTGAAAAACAAAATAATCTCTTGTTTAATAAACAAAATAAAATTGAAATTCAGTCTGGCTGATGGGTTGCTAATGTTGTACCATAAAAAGCTTATTAATAAGCAACTTAATAAGAAAATAAGAATGTCTAGTCCTAGTATGACACATTTTAATTATGTTTTCCACCCAAAAACACAACTCAGTATCAACTTTGTTACTGAGACTGGTACATTATTAAAAAAGGAAAATGATGGATCATCCTTTAGTCTACTCAGAATCTTTCTTTTGAACTACATAAATTTTACCTGTGTCAATGCTACATATTCGACCAAGTTGCTTCAGAAGTTCATTCTCTTTACCAGTCAATTCCAGGCAACAATAATATGATAAGTCCTGAAACAACAGGATAGTGGTAAAGTAAGAATAACTCTTGAAAGTGAGCCTGCTAAGAAAGGACCAGACAAGGCTTCACAATTTACACTGAAGTATTACTTTTTCATTCTCTAAAATTTGTCAAAGAGGAAGGAAAAATTACTTTTCTTTTCTAACTCAAAACTGTTAGTTATAGGAAGGTTGACAAGTATTTCTCATTTGAGGGCCAACTTCCTCTCAAACCAACAGACCAAAAAGGACATGGAACAAAGTGTCTCTTTTCAATAGCATTCTGCTTAAGAAGATGATACAGGGTTTTGCTTAATCTCTTGGCTCTTGAGAAGACTGAAAATGTAGTATTTCAGTCATAGTTACCATAAGTCTTTTAAAGATTCATCTTGTTCTCTCTGATACTCGCCACCTTTAATTACAATTATAAAATCTTTTATTTCATACTTAGCAGGTTTTTTAACAGCTGACACAACAATACTTCAAAGAGACAGAAATATTCATTATAACTGAAGAGTTGATTACTTCGCCTTGGCAAAATAACAAAGAAAACAGATGTAAAACGCGGTACCTGAAGAAGGCAGTGTTTTGTCATGGCTCGGTAACAAGCCCTGTAGCTCTTCTCTGTAGGGTTGTTTCCTAAACAGTATCCCCATTTCTTTACCATGTGAAATCTCTTTGCATGCCAAATATGCGTTTCCAGCCAAATATTCTTTCTTTGCCTACGATTAAACTCTGCTACCAAGTTTATGTGGCGCCTTCTGGCTTTGCGGCATTTAGTCTTTGACTGTTCTTTTTTCTGATGTACAGCTTTCTCTGCCTGTTTTTTAAAAGAGAGGATATGGAAGTAAATCTCGAGAACAAACTTCTGAAAAGAAAAAGGCTGAAACATAATGATACAGGAAGCACTAACATTGAGTTATACTTTATTCTGACGTTGGATAATTCGTGAGGGTAACTAACACTTTGAACCATTCTACACGAGCGACATCCATGGAAGCGCGTCAAGGTTTGGGTGAAACCCACACATAAAACAAAATCCCCACACATTCAGAAACTTAACAGTGAACAGTAAGATCTGCTACTTCCTGTCTGAGTTTTTGCCACACATCAGTATATTCACATGAACAAATCCATGTGACATTAAAAACACCAGTTGATTTGAGCTCCTACAGAAGCAGTACAGACTCTCAGATTGCCAGGTAGGGCCCTAAGGGTTCTACAATATGTAAAAGCGGGTAAGAGAGGACTATGGTGATATCTTGACCAAATTTTTGATAACCAGACCCAGTCAAGGTCTGAATTATTATGGGTGAATGCATGGCTGGAGAGGAAGGCTTGATTCAATCAACATTTGATTTGTCTTTTTGTGAAGAGAAGTGGTAGAAAGAAATAGGGACTATAAGATACAAAAAAATTCTTAGGATATCCTTTGCAAGCTCACCAATAAACAGTTGACAACAGACCACTGGTTATAAGAACAGCAAAGGAAAGACAATCCTAGAAGATTGGTGCCAAGAACACAGAAAACACTGAAGTAACCCATGAAAATTGAAAAACAAAGAAGATATCTTCCCATCAGACCCACAATTCCACCTCAGAGGAGGCAATACAAGCCACTGGATCAATGGTAGGGGACTGGCTTAGAAAGGCAATTAGAGAAAAAGGGATGTGGTATTGTAGGTGAAAAATATACATATTTAAGCTTTCTGAAGAGATAAGAGATGGTTTGGGTAAATGTTTTGATGAAAATGGTCATGATAAAGGATTTTAGACAAATGAAGAAAATGCAGCAGAAGTGAAACAGGTAACTTTGAAGATGCAGACCTCAAACACTGCAAAGTAATAGACAGAAGCTTTACAAAAGCAAATAATGGAGATATGACAAGCTGTAGGAAAGCATGAAACAAAAGAGACTGTGCAAACACACAGACTACACCAAAAGACCTGAAGACAAAAAATACAGAAGAAGAAATACAGCTGTACCAGGGCCAGTTAAGTAATGTCAAATATCCAGGAGTCGTACATGGATGTGAGAGTGTGAGCATGTACACAGAAGTCAGACAAGCTGTCACATGGAAGGAGTTAAAAAAGCAGGACACAAAAGAACATAGACACTAAAGAAATCTAGATTTAACAAGGATAGAGTAAATAATTAACTATGCAAAACAGCCCACACCTTCTTCCTTCAGTTCTCAGAAAACAGGCCAAACTGCATCTCTTGTCATGACTGACAAAGCAAAAAGAATGCTAACCAACATAGTAAAATAAGAGTTATGGGTTATGAAGATCCAATAACATGTAGTTATTGGATCCTAAGAAACATGTAGTTGGTGTGCAGCAAGGAAGTACCCAAAGCAATTTCTGAACTACTAACAATTATCTTCAGGAACTGAGGATGGAGGCAGTAAAGTCTCAAAGAACTTAAGAAAGACAATGCAATGGAAAAAAAGAATGCAATAAATACATTTATCAGTCAACCTTAATACATAGAAAATTTACCAAGCAAACTCAGTCACTTTAAGGAGTCTCTAAAGATGATAAAGTGATCAGTGCCAAACATCAGAAAGATAATTTCCAATACAATCCTGCCAAAACAATTTTTTAATTTTTTTTTAAACACACATGAAAGCCACAGGGGGTAAGGAGCAAGTGCATAGGCATATTCTGACTAAATGCTGAAATACTGACACAAAATCAGTTTCATAAGCTACTAGGAATAGTCAATAAGTAAGTCTTAAGCTGCATGCAGTCTGCCAATAACCCCAGTGTACCTGCCACATTAGAGCTATAACATGTGAACTGTCCATCAGCCATGCTGGTTTGAGCCAGCAGGGTCACACCCTAAAACTGTGGTGGTGCAAGGCAGATAGGTCTTACTGTGGACTCTTGGACCACCTGAGACCAGTGCACGACCTGAACAAACCCTCCTGCAGTGGACCCTTTTAACACTACTCTAATAACTTTTCAAGATGTCCAGCAATCGCAAAGCCAAGTGGTTAATGAGACCTACTTGAGCAAACACCTAAAACTGAGGTGTTCCTGCACTTTGCATCCAAATGTCTCTCAAACTTTAGGGTACCCAGGGAAGTTTTGCAGACAATTTCAGGTCTTAATATTAATAAATGTGCAGCTGAACACTGTGCATTAGCTATGCCCAGTATATCAAAGGCTGTAAAATGCACTTATACCTCTTTCCTGGCCATCTCTTGGAGCCGCCTGGGTAGGCGTTTAATATTGTGACTCATTGCTCGCCGTCGCATGTGTCTGGGTAGAGTCTGGAAAACCAGAGAGTTTGAAGACTTCTGCGAAACCGCTTTCAACATGGCACTGATTTCAGCAGCACGAGCTTGAGCAAAGGTGGACACTGGAATGAAAAGGACTGCATCAGAGCATGACAAATACCAAAAAACAAAGAGGATACTGTACGTAAATTATGGAATTACTCCTAGTATATCAGTTCAATACTTTCTTGACATAAAAGTAAGTACTGCACACTATTACTGAGGAAATTTCAATTCTTCAGATATCCTGAAGCTTACAGATATGTTCAAGCAAATATTTATATGTGAATGAATCTGAAAGCCGTGGTATAACCAACAAGTCCTATTTGCATTAAACAGTTCTTTGTTAAATTAAAACAGCAATCTTTTCAGATGATATTCAGAGAGATGAAAAGAATTTCAGCATGGAGAAAAAAAGGAAGCAGTAATCACATTATAGACTGTTTTAAAATGATCAAATAAAAATCCAGAACTTGGTCTTGTTTTATGCTTATGGAGGTCTATCCACTATCAGAGCACTGCCACATTTTGCAAAGCTAATCTGCTCTCCTAAATAAACGTTCTGTTAGATAAAAAGCTTTCTTTAACTTACATCATGGGTAAAATCAGTTTCACTGGCTACATTAAAAGCAGATGACTGTCGGTACTCATTTTGCTGGCAAACAGAAACCAAAATGCATATCCCTCACTACAAGCAGGTGCAAATTTTCAACTCAGAAGTCCGAAAGGACCCATTGAACGAGAGTTGGTCATTCATTCCAGTTCACAACTACTTCTGTGTTTTGGAGAAAATCAGGAAAAACAGAAGAACATAGCATCAGTTCTAATTTTTGCTCTTGCACAAAAACAAAGACAGACAGCAAACTTAATCGCCAGCAAAATTGTCCTGAACATGAAATTATGACCTTTTCATAGATACGAACCCGTTATGTATTTTGGCATTTCCTCAGAAACACTCTGGCATCCTCCTTGCCATCCTCCTCTTCCTCTGGCTCTCTCTCCTCTACTTTGCCCTTTTGGAAAATATTGGTCTTTCCTGTAAGAAGGCCCAGCTGACTGATTTGAAAATTTCTGCTGCTGATGCTGCTGCTCAGAACGAACATCTCCTGGAAGGTTTAGAGATGAAAAGAGGTTAGAGAAATGCAAAGCAGTCTGAGTAACTAATAACTCTACAGTCTTTCCTCATGAAACTGCATTGCAGATTCCTCCTATTATACTTAATATATGTAACTGAAAAAGCCATAAGAAATCAGAAGAATTAAGTTCTTTCTTACAGGAATAAATAAGAATTTTACACTGTCCTGCAGCAAGCCTACAGTAGATTAAGTAACTTCTGCACATTCTGAAAATGGTACCCAATCCAGACTTTGTCTCCAAGAGCCTGACTGAAATCAGTCCATGCAACATCAGTAGTGATTTTTATTATTGTCTAGTCAGGATTTACTATCAAACCAGCAGTTATTTTTTCCTCTTCCCCCTTTTTTTCCTATAAGCAAATGTATTCTTGTCGGGCACTATAGAACAAGACCACTTAGCAGTACTTAAAGTTGAAGAGGGTCATGAAGTCCATATTCAATGATTATTGTATATTCACCCTAACTAACATTATATATTACTTTAGATTACTTTATATTCAGTTAAGTCTTGGTTAGGATTTCTAGTATAGCTTGAGATATGGTTCTCAGGCTGTTCAAGCTGGAAACCCAACTAAAAAGGGCCCAGAGAGCCATTCCCACCACCCCACCCACTTCATCAAGATGAGTGCTTGAGAGAACATGGGGCCATACAGTTCAGGGACTTCTCTAGTGAAAAATCAATCTGTATGTGCAGAGAAATGGGGTGAGACAAGCCTGTCCTTTCATCTCAAAAATGCTACCACTGGCACGAAGAACAGCCAGGAGCAGATTCACCTCCAGCAGCATCAGTTTATGTGAACTAAAAATGGTAAAGAACCTTTTTTTTCCATTTCAAATAAGCAAGAAGTTGAAGTTTTATGTTCAGTAGCAATGCTGTTACAGCCTGCTGCAACCACACATCATGCAGAACCGCAGTACTACAGCTAAAAAAGTAATTTGGTGTGGAAAACAGAAATCAGCTTTTAAGTAGAACAAGTCCTTGACTTGGGTTTTCCATGTGGCTGAGAGCAGCACTGTCCAGGCACTGAGGTGAAGGTGAGAAGGAAATAGTTGGGAAAGAGGAATGGAAGCTGCCTCAGTCAGCAAATCTGTGTAGCCTTACAGCCCAAAATTAACTAATATCACAAGCACACCCTCTCAATGGAGGAACTAAAAATTTTATCAGAAGATGGAAGAGTGTTTCAAAAAGCAGTGAATGACTTAACACCTAAAAAAAATTTAAATTATTCCAGCTTCTACGGATATCCATAGTTTTATAACTCCTATCAGAATTTTTCTTTCCTGTTTCTACAAAATAGCCCTGTAAAACTGAGATACTAACACTATAGAAGAATGTTACATGGATGAAAATCCACTCTATTTAATAGAACAGAAAAGCATAACCATGTAATCTTAGAAGTTCCCTGCTACAAATAAAGTTAGAAAAATGTGTTTAATCTGGCAGTACTGCTGTAACGATATTCCAAAATCTTCAGACATGACTGAGCATAATTTGCTATGTCATTCTGTCTGCTTAGGAACTCTTCAGTCACCTAAATACACTGTGACACTTTAGCATTTTTTTCTCCAACCACAAAGACGCAATTTGTCATCTTTTGAAGGCCTCACAGTAACAAGCCCTTTCATGTGTGGTGTTTTTAGGTAACAATATATCTAAATGGGAGGGTGTGTGAGGTCCAACTGAAGCAGTCAACAGACAGGATGCAGGTCAACAGACAGATGAAAAAAGCATGTGGCATACAAGCTGGCAGGATCCTTCAGTCTTCAGCTGCAAAGGTTACCTGTGTACAGAATTTTCCAGCAATGACCCAGTGACACTGCCATTTTAGGGACACGTCCCTCTGCCTCCTGCCAATACCCTTGCATAGATAAAGGAGCCACAAGCCCCAAGAGGCAAACTGGTCGGGCGTGCTGATCTGAGGGAAAATCAGTGCATTTATTCACAGCGCCAGAAGGCTAAACCAGCCCCTCCTGCAGCTCCGAGGTCTGACAGAAAAAGAGGGGGGCCGCTGGATGAAATATAACATCCAAATTCATTTCAAGACTAGGAACCACAGGGATTTGTTGTGTAATCGAATGGATGATACAAAGAAGCGCATATTCCCAGAATTGTCAGGGTCGGAAGGGACCTCTGGAGATCATCCGATCCAACCTCCCACCTCTGTCAAGGCAGGATCACCTAGAGCAGGATACACAGGAACGCGCCCAAGTGGATTTGGAATTACTCCGGAGATGGAGACTCCACGATTCTCCCATATTAACGAGAATCCTGTACTAACGGGATTTATGGCAGCACCAGGACTAAAGGAGTCTACAGCAGGGGACGAAGCCTTGGGTACTCCCATGGCGGGCACACCGGGGGCTGAGGGGACGGGGACACCCGGCCGGCCGTACCTGGGGGCGGGCAGGCTCTGCTCCCGCCGCCGGCGAAGGGCCCCGGTTCTGCCGGAAGCGTCACGCTGGCCGGCTGGTTCCTCATCTTCTTGGCCCGTTTCTTCTCCCGCGCCCCAGACATCTCCGGCGGGGGCTGCCGAGCCTCTGGGTAGCGGGGGGAGGCGGGAGGGGCTGGCGGGCGGTGCAGCCGCGGGCGGAGCGGGCACAGGCACCGCCACAGACCCAGCGCTCGCTCGCGGAGCGACCTCCACCAGCACACGCGGCTGCTTGCGCCCCGTGCGGCGCATGCGCACCATGCCCACCCACCCAGCTCCGGGGACTACACTTCCCATGAACCCCTGCGGGCGGCGGCGGGCGGGTAGTGCGCCGGCGGGATCCTGAGGGAGGCGGGGAGGGGCGGGCACTGACGGCAGCACGGGCACCGACGGCAGCACCGGCGCCAGCTATGGCTTCGCTCGTGAAGAAAATAATCAGCACTACCAAGGCCCCTGCACTGGGTCCCTACAGGTAATGCCTTAGCTGAGAACGACCTGGGAGTCTTGGTGGATGACAGGTTGACCATGAGCTGGCAATGTCCCTGCGGCCAGGAGGGTCCATGGTATCCTGGGGTGCATGGGAAGAGTGCGGCCAGCAGGTTGAGGGAGGTGATCCTGCCCCTCTGCTTGGCCCCAGTGAGGCCACATCTGGAGTACTTTGTCTAGTTCTGGGCTCCTCAGTTCAAGAAAGACAAGGAGCTACTGGAAAGGGTCCAGCAGAGGACTACAAAGATGATGAAGGGTCTGGAGCATCTCTCTTGTGAGGAGAGACTGCAGGAGCTGGACCTGTTTAGTCTAGAGAAGAGAAGACAGAGGGGGTCTCATCAGTACATATAAGTATCTCAAAGGCAGGTGCCAAGAGGATGGTGCCAGACTCTTTTTGGTGATGCCCAGCAACAGGACAAGAAACAATGGCCATAAACTAAAACACAAGAAGTTTCACTTCAACATGAGGAAGAAATTCTTTACATTGAGGGCGGCAGAGCACTAAACAGGCTGCCCAGGGAGGTCATGGAGTCTCCCTCTCTAGAGACATTCAGAACGCACCCGGACATGTTCCTGTGTATCCTGCTCTAGGTGACCCAGCCTTAGCAAGGGGTTGGACTGGATGATCTCCAGAGGTCCCTTCCAACCCTAACAATTCTGTGATTCTGTGAGGGAGAGGTCTCTTGGGAGAAGCAGAAGCATGTTTTGCTGGTGGAGTTTCGGCAGATCCGGGTAGGGTCTGTCAGGCAGCCCAGGGGCTGAGGTGAGGGCAGGACCCCTGAACAGGGGCTGGTCCCCTCCCTGGTAACCCCTGGAACACCTGGAGTCCTGCAGTAGGAGCAGTGCTGCAGTGCCATGCAGGGGGATGTCTCCTAATCGTTTTAAAATGCCCCTCCAGAAGTCAGTTTGGGAAAATAATTCTGAAATTAGTGGCAAGAAGTGAATGAAAAATAAACTGCAAGAGGAAGAATGATTCTTCTCCAGGAAAATGTGTTTGCCTAGAGACGAGCGTGTTGTGCAGGGAAGTTACAGAGAATGCTGACTATGGATGCTGAGCCTGATCCAGGGTGAGCTTGGGCAGATGGAGAGTTCAGTGCCTCAGAATTGCGGATCCTTCCTTATTTTGAATGTTTGTAAATGCTTTTCAGTCTAAAAACTAACTGCTGTAAAAATATGTAAGATGTTGTTCAATGTTTTCACAAGTTTGTTGTTGCAGCAGATCTGCATGCAATTTAAAAAAAAGAAAAATCCCACTTTTATTTGCAGAAGGGTTTCTCTTTAGTATAGGGACAAGAAAAAAAAGTTCAATCAGTATAGCATACTCTTATAGCTAAGGTACGGAGGGCTTTTTACTAGGGCATTTTATACGAAATTTTAATTCTGCATTCAGTCTTTGTATTCCCAATAGTACCTTATTGCCTTCCAGGTGCATTTTTGTCTCCATTACTTTGTGTCCTGAGTTTTCTGAGCTTCAAACTGTGTGTTCCTTATAGACATTTTAAAGATGGAAAAATACAAAGTTTGGAAGCCGAGAGACATGACGTGAAGGTTAACTTCTGTAAACAATAAACTGTTATTGTACTGCAGCCAGGGGCTCGGCACTGCTTGGCGTTAGGAGAACATCTAAGACATGGAAAGGTGATGATTCTTCTGCTGCATACGCACACACCACACTGGCCTGGTCTTTAATATAGTTCTCCACTTCTGTTTTGGATTAACTGCACTCCAACATTTTGTGCTTATTGATAGTGCTTGATGAAATACTTCTTATTATGCTACCTGTTAATTGTACAACAGGTCTAACTAACATCAGTAAGTTTATCACTAACTTAGTTTATCAGATTTCGCTAAACTTGTCAAAGTCCAGTGAGCAGAAAAGTTGCACAAGAAATAACTGCCACTGGGGTTTGTGTGGTTGAAGTTTCTCTGAGCTTCACTCGTGCATTTGACTGCAGTAGAACTGTACCCCTTGGCTGGTAAATTGTTACTAGTCTCAGGAAATGGAGGAGTCCATCAGTAAGCATACCAAGAGAAGGAAGCTGAGGAGGAGCAGAGAAGGAGACTCAATAAGGCTGTTGCAGATGTTGGTCTGGCAGTGGTATCAGAAGGCTTCAGCTTGTTTTTTGTGATTTAGGATTTTCCTAAGGCCTCTGTTGAGATAAACATCTTGTCATGTCATTTATTTTATAATAAGCAGTACAAGACAATGTCTTTTTTTCTAGAGGGCTCATACCTTCCTGTTGCATGGTTCTCTGTGCTTCAAACAGAACAGAAGTTTATGCGTTGAGGGCCTGTGCCTCAAACAAAGCAGGACATGGTAGGAAAGAAAATTAAAGAAGCGTGTGTGTACAGGCACATATTTTCTATGAAAAAGACTGTCAGCTGGAAAACTATTTTATTCACTAGTTTCTCATCTTTAAATGGTGTTGTTCCATGATTTACTCCAGTTTTGTTAGTTGATGACAGAAAAAATAGTTGTAACATAAGATATTTTACCTCATCCAATAAGTTACTGACTGTTTTTTCCCCTTATGAAATTACAGGAGAATGTAGGACAGGGATAAAAGGAAAGATGGGAATGATGGCCCTGTTTGAACTGCCTGACCCTAATCATTTTACTGAGTCCCTAAGTCAGGTGTGTCACCTGTGAGGTTGGATTGAGACAATCCAACTGAGTCAATCTCAATTGAGAGAAGAGATGTCATAAAAATGTACTCTGAAAGTGTCCATTTCTATTTCTACTGACATTTAAGGGAAGCTAAACTCCTTCAGATACTTAAGGGAGGTGCTCGAGTAGTTTATGTAGCTTGAGAGACTTGTTGAATGGTTAAAACAATGCATTTTCTTGTGGAATGGAAGAGGTAAGAAAAACGGTATTGACACGCCACAAACACTTTCAAAAAATCTTTCTCTAGTTCCTTTGCAAAATATTTTTAATTACTAGCTGAAGAGAATTAAATTATGTTTCTTGCATAATGTTTGCTAGGTAGTTTAAATCTTTGTTTTAATCTTTTAATCTCTTTGTGATAACTAAAGACGTTAATAATTGCTAATTCTACTTCAGCAAAAACACACCTGACATTTATATAAAAATGTTTTGCAACTAGCTTTAATTCTGCATTCCTCTGAATTAACCCAGCCAACAGGTCACTCAGGTTATTTGGTGAGAGGAGAGTGATTGTTCTGGGGATGGAGCGATCAAGGTGTTTTGCTGACTGCCCAAATTCATGACTAGGGAGGAATACTGCCAAAAAACTAGTGGGCAGGGTGTCACCTCACAGCTGTGACTCGTTACCGTGGTGCCTGTTTGAGAGGAAAACTCTTAAATTTTCTAATGATCCCTCTTTTGATTTTTCTTTCTTCTGTGTTTTTTTTTCCCTTCATTCCGCTCATCGCTCTGCAGCTGAGATGTAGATAAAAGGTATTGTCTGCTTCCCAAACTAGGATGGAATATTTATCTAGACGTGTGCAAAAAATGTCTATTTACTCTGCCTTGCATCTGTGCTATCTGCAGCGTGGAATCTATAGGTCACTTTAGTGTTGTGTTGCTGCATTCATACTCTGAACCTTTGCAAGAAAGGGAGTTTATTTCCTCAAAAACAGGTCTATGCAATTCCATAGATGGCCTAACCTTGGCACTTCCAAAAGCATACACCTGTTGAGTGTATGACCGTGTGTACAAACTTGTGTGTGCATAACCTCGGTCTCCTTTCTGAGATATTGTAAACTGCTGTAGAAAATTTGACATATGCTTTCAGACACTTGGATGTTTTCATGGGGAAACATTAAACCTACAATGTGACTTGTGTTTTCAGCCAAGCTGTGCTGGTGGACCGGACAATGTACATTGCGGGACAGATAGGCTTAGAACCTTCCACCGGGCAGCTTGTCTCTGGAGGGGCAAAGGAGGAAGCTAAGCAGGTAAGAAGTCTTCTAGCAATGAACTTGTACTGGGATTGGCATGTGTTTAGTTAAATGTGGACTTGTGAGAAATTGAGAAGACTAGAAAGTGCATTTTGCATCCTCCAGATGAGGAAAAAGCAAGAAAAAGTCATTCCATCCTAACCCTGTCTTTTTTCTGCTTGGACAACTTGGAGGTCAGGGGAGGAATCTATGTTTTTATACCATAAAAACATAGATTTGGGAAGTGTTTTTATATAGGAAAGTAAGAAAGAATCAATGTTTGTAACAAAGGTTCACACCCCAGTAAAAACCCTGACTTGAGTTGGGGAAAGATTTATTCCCCCAAAAGCAAAGAGGTGGAATAGGATGAGATGGAGCTGCATCATAAATTTACATCTAATGAATAGATGATTTAATATTTATGGTTTATTAGAGGCTCGCTTTTATTAGTTTTTATTTTGGTCAGTTTTGACAGTTGAGGTTTTGCTGGGTGAACTTACAATATAACATGGATGCAGCCAAGTTACAAGTCGTATTTGCATACTTACATAGATATAACCCAGCTGATAGTTAACAGATTTTTGTTTCATTTTTCATTAGGCTCTAAAAAACATGGGAGAAATCCTGAAAGCTGCAGGCTGTGACTATGGCAATGGTAAGTGGTGCTATGATGGTGGCAAACAAGTAGTTGTTTTCACCTGAATTAAAATACAAAAAAAATCAAGTGACCTCTAAAGTGATCTTTGCAGTGGGTATCAATGGAACACTACTCTTCACTGAAAGTTTCTGCCAGTGGTACTAATACTTTAACTCCAGCTGGGAAAGCTTAGGTATAGACAGAGCTGCGCCTGACTACAGGCATTTTAAGCATCCTAGGCTTTGCTCCAGGTAAAAGAAGGCTTGTGTCTATGGCGTTAATATTCTAGACACTTTCAGTACTTTTTTTGGGGGGACTCTAATAGTCAGCCAGAGCAGGATTAATGCTGCCTTAGACAGTCATGGGCAAAAAATTCTAGCGTAGACTGTATTTTCAGGCATTTTTATGGATTTTTTTTTCACAACAGATATTATATATAAGTTATTGCCAACAGTTGGTTTACAACAGCTTTTTTAATTGACTTGCTTGTCAGTTCTGTGCCTCTTGGAAGATTTTGGCTTTTTCAGAGCTGGTCAGGAATACCTCAAGTCCTTAAAGTTTTCTTACATACGAGGTACTCAGATTTTTTGGGTGGTTCTTTAGGTTGTAGCTCTAATGGTCAATATCTGTTTGGAAAACTTATCAAAATGTATTAGACTACTCAAGAGAACTTTATGAAATAAAAGCAAGAAATGCATTAAAGTTTTTCAACTTTTATATGCAAGGCCAAGGTCTAAAATAACTGCAGTTATATAATTTCCAGTTGTGAAGACTACGGTTTTGATGGCAGACATGAAGGACTACAATGATATTAATGATGTTTATAAGCAATGTAAGTAGATGTTTTGTTTCTGTTTTACCAGTATGGCTTGTGTAACAAATTATATTCATGGTATTCAAAGTGTTTGAATGACTCAGATGATGCAGTTCCATGTTGTTTGAAATTCCAGTAGAAATTTTACAAAAATTCATTTGCAAGCATCAGATCAAGGACAGCCTAATTTCTTGTAAATTTGTGACCTATCATCTCACTCACTCACTGTCCTGTGAAGATGAACTCCTGCTACCCCTCCAGGTTGATCTTCCATGCCTCTATCTCTATAGATGCTCAGTTGTCCCTAATATAATTCTACTGTAGGCAGCCTTCAAATGCTTAATTTTAGATTTTGTATCTCCATTTCTTTAAAGTCTATTTATATCTTTGAACAATTTGTGGGTTATTGGTATGGGACAGGGCTCATTTTTTATACAAAGATGCTCCACTTGAGGACAAAAAACAAACAATGCTTGGTTAACAAAACTGAATGTCAACTGAAATAGGTGATGCCAATGACCCATATTGTGCAGAAGAATTTGAGAGAATATGCACAGGAGTTCCTTATGTTCCTTTGGCTTTAATTGGGTAGCAGCATCTGATCTTGAATGAAGTCTTTCATTGATGAGCAATCGACACAGTCTTCTGCATGTCAAAATGGAATGGTGTGTGTGTTTAAGCAGGGTAAAAACAGGCCAACTAGACACTTAGTTATGTGTTGCCTCCTACCTGTAGTTCAAGAAAGCAGTTGCTGTTCTTTCATTGTGAGTTATTATCTCAGTGATTAACAGCTTTCAGTAAAGTTTCGTTTAATTACACAAACTCCTTGGAAACGATTGAAGTCAGGTTGGACGGGGCTTTGAGCAACCTGATCTGATGAAAGATGTCCTTGGCCATGGCAGGGAGGTGGATATGACTATGTGAGCATTAAATGTTCCCTCCAACCTAATTCTATGATTCTACAAATTCAGCTCTTATATCTTTACCAGTACCCTTCCCTCTGCTTCACCCCCTGTTCTAACACCTGTGACCGCCAGGTCTAAGCGGGCACAGAGGAATAGGCCAAGGGCCTATTTTTTTCTCTGCTTTCCTTTGAGATGAGTAAGTTTGGACTGCTGTTGACTTTGCATAAATCTGGGGTCTTTGCTCATGACTCTTCTGGCAGGGTCCTGTTTCTCTCTCTTGCTCTTTCTATGAAAGAGCCATCTCCTACTCCTTGGTGTAGGATCACCATTCTGATTTAATCTTTCAGCCGAGCTGGTGTTAAGACCCTGCAGTATCAGCAGAGTGCAAGTATCACTGGTCACTGCGTCACAACTGCATCTGGCTTCTTAGTGATGAATGATGGCTTGCTGAGATGTGAGAGCAGTCAGTGACCAAAACAAACCAAAAAGGGAAAAATGATAGCTGGCACAGGAGACTTGTAGCCTTGAACTGTTCAAATTGACTGCATTTTATACGATTACTTTGAACTGTGTTTTATCAAGCAGAGTTCAGTGATTAGTGGATATTTCTGTTTAAATTGCAGTTTTCAAGGCAAACTTTCCAGCCAGGGCAGCCTATCAAGTTGCTGCTTTGCCCAAAGTAAGTGTCACTTTTCTGCCTACAAAAAAACCCCCTTCTGAAATACCTTACTTCTGAAGCATTCTGACAGCTTTTCTTATTCTGAAATAGCTTCGATCGCAATTATTTTAATGGAGACTCCTAATAAGCTTTTTTCTAAGTATACCAGTCTTATTCCCACACATTATCAGAGATCTGAATATGAGATATAAATTTCTTTATTGTGGAAGATAGCTACAACACTAGAAGTAAGGGCTTATGATACTTGAGTAAGTGTAAAGTGAATTGTCAATATTACTTAACCTTGCTAAATCTGTCAGAAGTGTAATCTCTCTCAAATATCACTGTTCTTTCAAGGTTGTGTTGTACATCCACTTGCTTCATAAAACAGGTACATTAAATTCCTAATATGTTCCTTCATTGTTTTGTCACAGGGTGCCCGAGTTGAGATTGAAGCTATTGCCATTCAGGGACCCCTCCAAGATGCTTCAGCCTGACTATAAATAGAGACTGGATATCCTACAGCAGCAGTTTTGGATTTGATTAATACATCCCTTACATCCCATTCCTAGAGTTGACTAACAGCAGTTACATGCAGTTGAAAGTAGTAAATTTACCAAGGAAAGGTGCCCTCTTCTGGATTGGGGCCTTGGATTCTCTAAAATATGAGCTTACAGTGAGTTCTCTGCCGGCAAACCCTGAAACCTGTGGGAGTCCTGCTAAAATCAGCTGATCTTGATTGCAGGACAGGGCCCACTTTGTGATGGTCACTGGATATTCAGGTATTAAGGTACATATTTGGGTGAACTTATAACAGTTATACTGTCATAAGTTATACTATGTGTGATCTGGACATAGAAAACTATAATGATTTGTAAGTAACAATTTTAAATAAGAAAAAATGACAGAAATGAGAAAACAGAACACTTGAATTGCGTAGGACATATTTTCACTTTGGGGGAATTTTACTCCATTTGTTTCTGAATTGTCTTAACCTCTTTCTTTACATAATAGATTACTGTTGGGAGTCACTTTTTTTCACATGTAAGCAACTGTTTAAGAAAGTTAATATTAATTTCAGAAATAAGAAAATTATGGTTCTCTGAAGTGAAGTGCTAACTTTATAAATCAACTGTAAATTAATATCTACCTGAACTTTTTTCATAATTTTTTCATAGCAATTCAACTTTGACTGTGTTTTGATTTTAAAAAAAACAAGCAAAATCCACAAAAAAAAAGTTTAATGAGAATAAAATATAATTGCAACTGCAAAAACGTGCTTGTCTATTCTGGGGACAAAATTCTTTTCCTGATTGTGCTTTGATTATCCATTACAAAAAAAAAATCCGCATTTTGCTTACTCAATAAGAAATAATTTGAACCAGAAGAATAGGCTTATTACGTCTCTCCTAATAGCTAAGGATGAAATTCTCCAAGACAGGACGATTTCAGCAATTGTGGCATTACAGTTCTTGGCTCTTTTTTTGCTGCCATTAAGGTCAGAAGCATCAGTTTGATGGGGTGATTAAGCCATATTGAGAAGTCTGACTGGTGTTGCTAGTAAGTTATCCCATCCCTACTGATCTTCTAACCAAGTAGCAATAGATATTGTGTTTTTAAGTATCTGTTTGAAAGTCAGCTGCCTCATGGCAGAGTTGATTCCATCTTCCCCACAGCCACATGACTAAGCACAGTTGGTTTATTCGGGGGAAATGAGCAGAAATTCTTTCCTGCTATAGTCTGTCCACCTCAACATCTTTTTTTTGCTCTCTTCTGTGAAGATGGCCATCGGATTGCGTATGGATGCTGCTGTCACTGTGTCTTCACTGTCTTTGTGTAGAAAGTAAAAATAGCTATAAACAGCGTCTTGGAGAAAGTACTGTTTTAATGGTGGAGATGTGTACCTGCTTTATCCAATGTACTGCAAGAGGGAATCTCGTAGGCTGCTCCTTCCAGAGGCAGTCGTTTGTATGCCAGAGTGCCGTGACTGAGCGTATCAGAAGCTATTTCTAGTCCCATCTTGTGTTATCACACTCACTTAATATTGGTAAGCACAAAAGCAGTAATATAGTGAGGAGAAGGCATAACGGTGGTTTGCCACATGGCGAGTCCCAATACTGTCTGTTCAGCTCTCCGACCCCAAACTTCAGTTCTGTGTGTGCGTTTCTGTGCATAACGCCTGCTGATGCTCCTCTTGCATACTTTTACCTGGCTAATGGTTTTCATATGGTAAGCACACAAGAAGAGTCCAATCTGGCAGCACCATGTTGCTGTCAATCTTGCCATGGCACATGCAGATGTTGCCTTGTGTGAATCATCTTCCATCCCTGGATAAACTGTAGGTGTCCCACTCGTGGTTTCTTACCTTCCTGCTCACCAGCTATGCTTTCCAGATCTTGTTACTTCAGTTGCAGTAAGAATATTTTGTATTTTTCATGCATTCCTGGTATCACTTTAGCATACACCAGATGGGCTGTTGGAAAATTGTGAGGAAGTCAGCCCTATTTAACCCTCCTGGATGTGATGGGAAGTGGCCGTTTCTGCTTTTCACTGAGGTTATAAATTGTATCTTTATAGAAAAAACATTCATAATGAGGTTGTCACAGTAAGCATATACTTGTGATGTGTGATATTTTACAGTATTATCTTGCTTTCCCTTGAAAAAATGGGAGATACTTATTTTTATTAGAAGCGAAACAATGCTTTCAGTATTTCAACAGCGAACTTCCAAACAACTTTTTAAAAGTACCTAACTTTTCTGCAAATAAACTTCCTACACATAAACTTTATTAGTTTTGGCTTCTGCTTTTGTTCTGTCTCCTTGGCTATACTATTAATGTCTTTATGCTCTACAACTCTGACTCAATAAGCAATCCCTCCTAAGAAAACACATGGTCAGACTTGTTAGGAAGGAGTTAGTATACTAATACGGATATGACTTTCTAGGAAACAAAGAGCAGATATTGCTTCACTTTATCAATTAATAAGAATAATATAATTGAATGAAGTTACATTTGAACTCCATTTAAATGGAGTTTAATTTCTAATTTATATTTGGGGTTCTCTGTAACAGCTTTGTTCACATATAATTGTGTTGTTTGAATTTATTTCACTTATTTGTACAAATAGTTCAAGTTCCCGTAAATCAGCTGATTTCAATAGTCTTGAACATCAGCTAAGTTCAGCCTTGTATAATCGCTGTGGTTATCCCTTCTTACCTCTCTGCCTTACCTGTGCCGTGCTGCCTCTTTGCCAACCTTGAACATAACACTAGATGGCAGCTTTGATATTTTTTTGGAGTGCTGACGTGTGCTTTGGCTGATGTAAGCCCTTTATAGAACTCCTTTGGGAGACTTCCCTGGTAGGAATAATGTTAATACACCATTGCTTTACATAGTAAGGGTCAGTCTGAGACTGAAATGTAAGTGAAACACCTGGAAAAAAATGCATTCTGGGTGCAGCTAACAAGGCAGAACACATTGATTCCATTAAAAACATTATTATCAGTGCAAAAAGTCAGGAACTAAAATTCACTTTTAGCTTTACGATTTTTTAGGTGGAGACCAGTTGTAGTTTTTAGACTACATATTTAGATCAGAGCCTTTTCTTGAATGGCTCTGATCTAAATATGTATTCTTCTGGTACAGGAAGTCTAGAATAACTGAAAAAACCTCTTATTTACAGCTATAACAGTTCTCAACATAAACAATCAGCCTTCCATAGAGGTGTATAAAACATTTATTTTTTTAAGCAGACTTTTATTATTTGATTCTATTCTTTAAAACAAAAAGGCTAAGCTCTGTAATTCTCTAATACAAGAAGCAAGTATCGTGACTGTCTCTTAGGTCTTAGCATACAAACTACTTAGTACATGGATATTTAATAAAACCTGGTTTAGGTAGAGGCAAGTTAAACATAGCTTTTTTTGTTTGCTAGACTGAGCCGCTAGCATGCCAAAATATGAAGTTGCAATTCAGCTGGTGGAATCCCATTTTCACCATTTAGAATTTGTTTCCATCACATGTAACTGAAAAACCACAACAGAATAGGTCCTCTCTTTCTGTGAAAGTAAAGAAATACCAAAACATGCATGTTCTACCAGGTGTTTCTTTTAGTAGAACTTTTTCTTCTTCAAATGATTATATACTCTACAGATTAAACAATGCAAAAATAAACTTCAGTGCCAAGTTTAACTTTGCTCTCTTAAAGCACTTAACCTGCCCTAATTTGCTACAAGCACTTGCATTTGCTGCAGTGTTTACCTGAAAGCAGCTCCTCACTGAGTGAAAGAGCCAATCCCAGCCAGTCAGATGGCCAAGTATCTTCTGAGATCTTACAGGGTGCATATGTGCCTGCACGGAGCTGACACAGGGTGCAAATTTAACCTCTTCTAGGACTGTGTTTATTGGTAATTAAAAAAAAAAATTCTATCAGAACTTCCTTGTTTGCTTGGAAATCCAGTTTGTTCCATCAAGTGTCCTGCCCAGCTCTCCCTGCAGCATGAAGTAATTAATTCTACCTTGGATGAAGCTGAGGGATGAAGATTGTCCAGCTTTTGATAAAATACAAAGCAATTTTCAAAAATGCTTGCCTGTGTTAAAAAACATAGACATTGGAGCATATCCTTTTCCCAGCCTTTAACATGAAAAAGCTCTTCGATACACAGACCAGTTTCTATCCTTGGGAACCTCTGTGATGTCCCAGGTTTGCAGAGGCAAATAACTGCATTTTGGTCCTTTATCCATAGTACATGCTTTGGTAGCTTACAGATCATGAATAGTAGACCCCAATGAAATTTTCAAGGTAGGAATGTTTTATTTCTCAAGGCAGAGATGTTCAGCATCTATCTAGCAGCTGCATTGTAAGAATTTAGGTGATTTAAATTTTCACGTTTAACAAAGTATCAAGCATATTTCATCTTTTAGAAAGGAAAAATAGGTTTCATCGGTTGTAGTTATAGAATATGTAAGGATGAAGATGATTGACAAAGGTTGATACTGTTGAGTCATTGACTGGTTTATATTCATCTTTTTTCTATTGCATTGCTTAATGACCTGAAAAAGTTGAACAGTGAGGTAGGAACATATATTGTCACCCATCTTCCTTGTTACAACAGTGGTAGAAAAGAGTGACTGAGGTGAGCAGGTCATTTTGACTCCTGTGTATCTTCACATTTTGCTTCCAAGTGCAGCCTCCTCTATTGCTGTGAATACTACTGATCTCTGTCAGAACTCTTCTTGGTTTATGCTTTAAAATTGTTTAATATAGCTGGTCAAACTGCAACTCGTGGTCTTACAAGTAGTCAGCGTGGCTCCTCCACCAATTTAATCTCCTGTGTTTGGGAGTGAGGTTATGCTGGCACAGGTGCTGGTGGCTGACCTGAATTCCCAGCTCACAGGAGGAAATCAGCCCTGAGATGCAGCTGAAGGGGAGTCCTGGACCCTGGATGTACACCCAGCCTAGTCCTGTATCACCCAGGGCTGTCCTCATCCTGCTCAGTACCTGCTCCCCCCCTCCTCAGCTCTCCAAAGTGCATAGTATGCTTCTCATGGATTTTTGTCATGTTTTGACTACCTCTCTTTGGATTTTTAACTCTCACTTTTTTAATAGATCTCGCAAATTTTTAATAGAATTAGCTGCTCATTTTAGCTTCTCTATTATAGAAAGCTAGTAAAAATAAAATAAAAGCAACTTCCACCTAGCAAAAAATCCCTAAAAAAATAGTAAATATGCATTTGGGTTCTAAAAGCGTATGGTGTTGCCTATATGATGCTGACATTAAATGAAGCTGACAAGTTCAAAAGAGTGCTGCAAAGCAGAAAACCTTAGATTTAGTGATACAGCCAAGTTATATCAGCTTACACAAAAGGCTGATAGCCCAAGGATATCAACTAGGTTATTTGATACAAACCAGAGTCAGCTGGAGTCAGATGTGCGCATGCAGCACAAAATTTTGTTAAGTCCTTTTGTACAATAAAGCTAATAAAACAGACGTGCTTGCTCTTTTTAAGTAATTGACTTTTTTTCCGTGTTCTACTTCCTTATGCTAGAGCATCCTGTTAACACAGTCCTCAACAATATACAATATATAGTCCCTTTGCAACATTCACTATCAGAACATATTTCTACTTTCTGTCTGATCCATAACACTAATCATATTTAGGACCCATTTTCACAGGAAATTTGTTTGAAAGCTTTGCTATTCAGCTTCAGCTCCAAAATGATTATTTAGCATTTTGGAAAATAACCCATACAGTCCCTGATGGTGTACTTCTCCGGGAGGACAGCTCTACAGGGAAATATAATAGATGCCATCTCCTTTGAGAACAGGCTTACAGTTGTCTCTTGTTAGAAATCTATTTTGGAAGCCACAAATGCATATGAAGAGACCTACACAGCTAAAGACAGGTTGTTAATCACCATGAATGCTAATAGCTGTGAAATTATCTTCTAGGATTTATATTACTAAAACATCCTACCCAGTTAAATATGCCCTCTTCTCCCTGTTTTTGCAGAAGTCATCACATATACTATTCATCACATACTACTATTCTTTCAATAAATTTATGTTTAAAAATGGGGAGTGAGCAGCACGTACTACTTGGGTCCTGGACAATGCACCCTGTTATCTTCTATCTTCTGGAAAACTAACCTCTGCATTTAGTTACAGCCTGGTAAATAGGCACTTTCATCTCCCAGTCCTCTGAGTCCTCTAAGCTATACACTTGAGCAGCTCCGTACACTGGTAGTCCAGGCACTCAGAGAAATTGCCTGCATACAGTCACTTAAAAAAAACAAAACACTGCACTGTATTCTTTATCCTATATAAGGCTGATTGAAGGTATAAACGGCTTGAAGTTAGTTATCTGAACCTGGAAAAAAATCCTAATTGAAAACTGAATGGTTATACCGCTGTTAGAAAATTATCCCACTGTGTACAGAAGGCACTCTGTGGCAGGGTGGTGAAAGTTTAGGTATTTCAAACACTTGAGATCTTGGCAGCTTGAACTAAAGAATATTTACATTATGTAAAACTTTTTCTGATGCCTTTTATTCATGTGTCTGTAGCTAGTGGTTCAATCCATAAAAGCTTTTCTATCTTCCCAACCCAGTAAAATTTTAAAATGTTCATGTGGACAGAAGAGCAGGCCCAAGAAGAGGATGTTCATAGAGACATAACTTCTATTCCTTGTTATTAGCTGTCTCTGAAACACATGGAAAAATTAATTTAGCGATTAATTGAAGGTACAACTTGATATTCACAACATCTCACAGAATTCAAAGTGAAAGTTCCCTGGAAGCATCACAGGATGAAGGGGGTATCTGTTCTTCTCCCAGATCTGTAAGAATGTTCTGTGTCGACCTGAAATGACCACAAGCAGCCACTGGCTCTGCTTCCTCTTGCCCCATCATGTTCATACAGTCTTCCTCTCACAGACATTAACATCACCTCTGTATTATGCTGCAACAGTCTCGTGCTCCTCCCCACCCTGCTGCCTTTTCTCTCAACAACTTTTGAAATCACTAGATCCTTTCAGTCATATCTGACATAGAGGCAGGCATCTCATGGACATTAAATCTTAAATAAGGACAAGAGACATAGGGCATAAATTCAAGTAACTGAGTATTAAATATAAGAAAATATTTTCTTTTTTTTTCTCTAAGGACAACTGACTGATGAGAATTTACTGCCCACAATTTATGGAATCTCCATCCTTGGGGATTCAAAACCCAACAGGACAACCTGTTCCAGCTGACCCTGCTTTGAGCAGGACTAGACAAGCTTCAGAGGCACCTTTCTACCTTAGCCATTCCGTGACAAAGTATGGTTGGGGAACCAGCCCCTGAAACTACTGATGTTAACCATCAGCAGCTGAGAAGTTCTGAGGCTCACTGGCTTCCTTGATAGCTAAAAAAAAAGTGGCCAAGGGGATGATTGGCTGAAATCACAGTGTCAGACCACCCAAGCTCAAAGTACTTCTTTCCCAGCCAGAAGATGCTGCAAGGATAGATTGGGAACATGAGAACATGGCACTTCCTCATAGTGAATAATGGTGTTCCATGAGGGTGGGAAGGTGGGAAATTTGCATGGGAATCAAGTTGAGTGACAGACATCCAACTGCAGTGACTGACTGTGACAAAGACAGTTAATTAGCATGAAGATGGCTAATGTAGCATGAAAAATAACCAACTACCTTTAATGGTTTTGAATTTTTTTAATTCAACACACTTAGCATATCACTGAGCATTCGTTCAGAGATGGATTGCGGCTACCTTTAGAGCAATATTTTTTTTGCACTAGGAAAAGCTCATATCCTCTTAGTTGTACCCTCTCAGAGGCAAGGCTCTGAATGGTTTTGATGTCTCTCAAAGTAAGAATTTTTTCATTCCCTTAAGCCATTCTGTTTCCCTGCCCAGAATCTTGTTTTAGTTCTTCAATATCCTTTCAAGATGAAAGAATTGCTCCCTTACACAACAGCATCCCAGGTTTAAATGGTTGCTATTCCATTCTTAACATAGTTTTCTCCTCTTGCCCGAAGCCATTCTCTGAGCTGTGTGCATCAATGCATTCCTATCATCTGAAATGCATTACAGACACAGAAGCAGGGCTGCTTTTTCTGCTTCCCTACAAAACTGTTGAGGAGAATATTGTCAAAGCGGGAAAATGCAGAAAGTATTTCAATAAAGCTGTAATTATCACATGATGAAATTTCTGGATTCTGGAAGTATTCAAGGCCAGGTTGGAAGGTGCCCTGAGCAAGCTGATCTAATGGCAGGAGGGCTGGAACTAGATGATCTTTAAGGTCCCTTCCAATACAAGCCTTTCTATGATTCTCTTACTCTTCAGGAGCAGGAAGCTGTTCTTTAAACTGTTCTTTGATTCTCCCAGAATCAAGTGCTTTGCTGAACTCAGCACAGAGAGATAATTCTTTGCAAAAGCATATGGGCAAGACATTAAAAACAAGTTGATTGAATAGAATTGTTTTGACTTCATAAACAAAGCTATATGGCATAAATCTAAAAATTCTGCAAAAGCACACTTGTCAGTGGCCAACATCTGCTTGTCCTCACAGGCTAGCTTAATAAGTAGCAGTATAAAGGGGAGCAACTGCCAAACATGAAAATTAAAGGGAGGTGAGTAATTTTTTTTGTTTTATCGCTGTTGATCTAATTTTACTTGAGTAATCACAAAGTCATAAAGGCACTTATGCCTTGACCAAACTGCTGGACCATCACCCTACTGGTTTTCCAGGCTGCAGTGCTTGTGCTGAAAAACATTTTCCTTAGTCTTGTAGCACAAGCTGGCTTGCTGCTGGGAGCTCAAAGCTGACATATACTAGCATATACTGGTGTATGCTAGCATTGGGAAGGAACCAAAAATTTCTCATCCCAGGTGCAAGAGGTTCATTTGGAAGTCATGAAAGGCACTGGTGTAAGGTATCTACTACTCTTTCTGCTAAAGCTGTCCTCAATTACAGAAATACTCACTATCCTGGAGAGATTTTGAGCACAGCTACAAATGGTGGTTAGGAGAGAGGGGAGAGGGGAAAGATGGTTTCATCATGCAATAAGTTCAACAGGGGAAGAGAGGAGGTGCCTGTGTTGCCTGCTCATCCCTTTTCACATTTCAGCAATACCACAGGGTAATCTGTGGTGGTGGAATCACCATGCCTGAAAGTGTTTAAAAAACATGTGGATGTAGAACTTAAGGACGTGGTTTACTGGTGGACCTGGCAGTGATGGGTCAACAGTTGGACTCAATGATCTTAGAAGTATTTTCCAACTTAAATAATTCTATTATTCTAATTCTGTCTTCTGGGGCATGTAATCACCTTATGTGATGGACTTGAGTGTGGGATTCTTAGTGAACGTGGAGGAAGAAAAAGAAATAACTTTTGCAGAAAGACTGTGTTGACAGAATTGTGACCATAATTTCAAAGTCTGCCAGAGGGATAATCCCATCTCCTCGAATTTTTCTCTTCACTGGTGTGATGAATTTTCAAAGGCACTTTATTTGGCCTCTGACTTTTTCTTCCCACCATTTGACTACATTTGTTGTGCAATGTGCTTTCACCGCAGCACCACACTGCTGATTCCAACTGATATGAAGAACGAGGGGATCTAAAATGACTGACATAGAATGGAAATCATAAAGCAGCTTTAAGGCTTAGCTCACAAAAAGAAGCCTGCAAATAATAATGAGCAGAGTCATGATTTTAACACAGGTTTTTATTTTCCAAGACTGCATGTCACAGTCTAGCATACTCTCCAAAGCTGGATAATTTATCTCTGGTAAGGCTCATGTATTGTATAAAGACGACCCATGTAAAAAGCATGACTTCCAATTGATTGCTTTCAAAAATATCTCTTAAAGTAAACAAAAGTATTTATGATGCTCTCGTGTTAAAATGCGGAAAGCAGCTGCCTGCCGGTAGGGGAATGACAAGAAGTGCTCATTAAGGACAGCACAGTATTTTCTGTCTCCTAAACAATAACCCATGTGGTCCTTCCCTCCTCTGTCAACGTACCCATCTCTGTCGCTGCTGCACTATCCACAGCTTCTCCTGTTTCTTCTTTTGTTTCAGGCCCTCCACTTACTGTCTCACTGAGCAGCTCAGTTTCCACCTGTTCTCCCGTCTCACCTGGGAATGGTAACCATGGAGATCAAATTAGCATCCACTGAGAAAAGCACCAAGCACCCCAGCTCCCTTCTGTAAACCTAATTTTGCTTTGTCAGTTCTCCAATGCCCCTTACAAAGGTACCCCCTGAATGAATCCATAGACAACAAACAGGATGACCCCATCCAGCTATATGCATGCCTCATGCCCATGAAGTTCTCCTTATGCTTTCACAAAATCCCCTTGATGCTATATCCAAAAGACATCATGAGTACTATTTCTGTTCAAATTATTTTTCCTGGATTTTATTTTATATATGTGCAGTTTTATTTGCAATTGGAACAAAACGGAAATAGAAAACATGGTAATGTGCCAGTCTGGCTGAATTTGTGCTTTCCCTGACAAGTTGCTCCCTGATTCATTTCCTCACAAAGCTATGGAAGCATAAAGGAAAGTGAAACAAATGCTAAGTATCCTATGCACCGTAGCATAAAAATGTAAAGACTCATGGAAAGAGAATGCACACAAGTTAAGATATTTACATCTAGCTTGGAAGTAATAGGAGAAAAATCTTTTTCCTAAAGTCTTCACACATCATTTGGTGCTCAAAGCCCCACGACTCATCTTCAGCCAGTCAACTGTAAATGCGTTTGCACAGACATGAGGTGGCAGAGCAATGTTCAGTGTGTGCTGCTCTGCCTTCAGCATTCTGCCCTGAGGCTTAGAAATGGTGATTAATGAGTTTGCAACTGGGCAAGACTGTGTGTTTAACAGGTGAGCATCCTGTCATTTACTCATTACATAAAATGAGGCTGTATGCCTAAGGATAGATGCCCATGTTATGTAGAGGAAACTTCAAAATTCTTTTGTGGAGAGACACAGGAGAGGACAAAGTTAGTCAACCACCCTGCTCAGCTACCGGAATGCAAAGAGTGAGATTTATACAGCCAGTTCAGAGACATGCAGAGCAAAGCCACAGGATTAGTGGTAGCATGTGTAAGCGGTTCTGGACTTCACACAGACCAGTCCTTCTGCATCTTGCATTTCTTCAAGGCAAATGTGGAGTGAGGAAGGCTGCTGATACCATGTTTCCCTGCAGAGAAATATTCCTCTTTGTGCTTCGCTTGCTTGTTCCCTGAAAAAAAGCTCCCCCAGGATGTATCTGATTCCTTACCAAGCTACTTTGTACAATTCAAGAGAAATTCGACTCCTCCTGTGAAGTGTTCACCTTTTGCATGTGCAGTCCATTTGTGCATTTGTGCATTTGTGCATTTGTGCATTTGGGCACCAACCCAAAGACGAGCATAGCCTACAATTTTCAGGAACAAGCACATCTCCCACTAAAGGTCCCTATCACTGCACATGGAAATATCTGCCATCTCAGACACCACTGCCTCCTCATGCAGCCTTCCTCCACCGCTAGTCATCTCCAGACATTTTTTGAAAGCCCAGTCCAATGTCCCTCTGCTACTACTTCTATTTAGCTTGTCTAGTAGCCAAGGCTCTAGGACAGACTGGATATGCCAGGCATACATCAGAGATGCTTTTTCTTACACATCCAGGCAGCCTCCAACTTTATGTGCCCAGGGAGAGTTGCTTTATAATTAATACATGTGACTAAGTAATGGAGCCTTTGGGCTCTGCAAATATTAAGGAATGTGTCTGAGCTATACAAAGACACAATGTTTTAAATGAGGGTACGGTGGGGCATTTTACCTGCTAAGAACAAAAAGGACATGAAATGAAGTAGCAGAAATAATGACTGGAAATGCTGATTAAATTTATTACAGCTTGGACTTGTAAATCTGAGGCTTCCTCACCCACATTCTTCTACGCTCCACATAGTACAGGCTTCCAGGACCAAATTCTGACTCCAGAAGCTCTTGTGAGGCTCTTAGTAAAGTCAAAAGTACCCACACAGATGTCTCTGGAGGCAAAATTCGGTCTCCTGAATTTATGAAAGTACAAATATTACCCTCAATGAGGTGGTCCTCTTCAGTAATATGTACTTTATCCATGACTTCCACTACAGAGCTGTCACTGCCCTCTACCAGCCCACTGTCCTCAGCTGGTCCTGGTGATGGTGCCCCAACATCTTCTGGTGCTGCAGGTGAAGGCCCACTGCCCTCCTCTCTCCATACAGAAGGCAGCTCAGAGCTTTCCTCTGTTCCTGCAGGCAGGGGCTCGGTGCCCTCCGGCTCCTCCCTTTTACTGACTGAATCGGTCTTCTCCTCAGCATCCAGAATCATGGCTGCAGCCTCCTCTCCTGGCAGATGCTCTCCTAGGTTTGTCTCCTCAGAGGCAAGGCTCACATCCTCTTCTGGGTCCAACTGTGTTTGGTCAGCTATGGTTTCATGATTGTCTGCAGTCAAGGTGTTTGCACCTGGTGATGCTTTTAGTTGCAGAAGGGCAAAGAAAGAAAAAAGAGAATTGGTGAGTAGTAAGCTCAATGAAAATTAAACCCACAGTGAACCGCATAAGCACTACCTGTCAAAGAGCTCCCTCCTGGCTAGGAACATACCCTCTCACAGATGTGCTGCACATATCCACAAATATCCCATAGAAGATGGTGCTGCTCTTACACTAAAAGGAAGTTTTCATTTGAAGCATATCATATATTTTTATATGAAGAGAGCCAACCTGTTTACAGGTCACTGTCCTATTACATTTTGCCTTATGTATCTGAAGTGTGCAGGTGGTTTGCAGGTGATGGGACACTATGCAAGGAAGCACCTTATCCTGCCCCAAACCAAGCACAGGATCAATGTGATGAGTGTGAGGGAGCTGCTGGTCTGGGCTGCACGTGGGAAAATTCTAGTGGTGCCTCCAGGTGGGCTCAATGAAAAACCCTGAGAATGTTCTCATTCTGAAGGACAAGCAGTGCCCACTTCTTAAAACAAAAACTGATTTGTCTGTCTTTTTCAATACCAAACTACCATTCATAGTATGCTCTGTCTAATAAAAAAATCAATAACAGGAAGCCTAAACAAATTAACTTCCACTTCTTTCATCTTTCATCAACTTATTGGCTAGTAAAGCAATGGGTTTTGGCAGAAAAAATTATGAATAAAGAACTGACAAAATTACTCTGACAGGTATTTAAGTATGAAGGTTGAAGACTCAAAATGAGTTATACCTACCTATCAGACTGATTTAATAATCTTCTGATTAAATTCAATTTGACAAGAGCTTGCAGTTAACCTTCTTCAAAGGAATGCCAGGATGAAAACCCTAGTAATTCATGTATGAAATGTTTATATAATAGTTACACAACTGGAAAAATGTTATTTTCTGAGAAAATTATGATTGTGTTGTCAAAGCCAGTAAGCAGAATCATATGACACTGTTCACAGATGAACACATCTATGCGTGATCATACAGACATAGATGAACAGCAAAAAAATGTAATACCTCCTGCTCTTAAAACAGCTGCTTGAATACTGCTGCTTTAAAGTAACTTCACAGTTCTTTTGAGGCATTCAAGCAAAACACCTTGCCAGCAAGCGTCACCTAGTCAGCATGTGCCTAGAGAAACAGGGAAGGATAGCTAAGCAGGAAGAAGAGCAAGAACTGGGAATCTGGACTGTCAAGATGGACAGAAAGCAACTTTGACTACAACATAGATAAAATCTCATTTGTCCCAAGATCTGTAAACCCATCCAAGTTCCAACCATGCCCTCCAAATCCACATAGACATGGCTATTTATAACACAACTCGAACAACAGGAGATAAGTTCAGCTACGCATGTTAGACCACAGAGCCCTCAAAGGGCAGCACCAGCCTCTGACAGCTGGTGGACAGGGAAAGGACAGATGGTCCCAACCCACGGGGCTGAGCTTCAGTCCATCAGTGGACATTCCTCTGTCAACCTGCCCAAGCCCCTTTTCAATCCATTTACTCTCAGCCTCCCCCATGACCAGTGGCAATGAGAGCTGCAGCCCACTTATACCCCCTGCAAAACACATTCTGGTTGGTTTTAAGCCTGATGCAAGTCATTTCATTGAGTGACGGTTCTTGTGTTACAAGAAACAGCAAATATATTTCCCCTGATTACCTTCTCTTGATCTCTATCACACCTCGTCTTCCAGGCACTCATTTTCCTAACATGAAGCTCAAGGTGAAACAGATACCCAATTGGAATAACAGCAAGTAAATCTTAACCTAAAGCTACTCTAAGCAGTGATTAAAAAAAAGCAATGTATGCTCACAGACCAGAGACTTAATCTTTTCACATTCTTATTTTTCATCTCTTTGGACACTTCTAAATGCCTTCACCTTGCTTGGTGTCAGGAGCATTTAAAACTTATGGACAGAAATAAATGAGCCATTCAAATCAGAATGTTTTCAATTGTTGTTAGCAGTAAAAAAAACAAACCTCAGACCTATTATTACTGGGAATCTCCTGCAGCTTCTATAAATATCAGCCTTGTAACTTCCAGCTAGCCTTCTCTTCATCAAGATGTTTTATATAAATTGGATTTATAAAATACTGCCATGCAACATGAGATCTGCACTGTTGGAAACCCTGGAAGCATTCCTCTGCTCTCATCTGAAATGCAAAGAATTCCCTAATATGGAGAAAAAAAATCCTCACAGTAATCTATTCAATACCTTTATCCCCCAGAAGAATGAACATCATGTGGCAATCAACATTCCTAGGATTCTGGCTAGTTTTGTTTTATTTTTAAATTTATAATTTTTATTTTCCCTGCTGTAGATAATTTCGGCTGGAAAAACAATGACAAACACAGTGAATTTAAGTGGGCCATGGCAACAGTATTTTTCCCTTTGCCTTCTTTCTTTCCTTTTGGAAAAGCCTCAGATTTTTGTTTTTATTAAATACATTTAATAAAATTAATTTTATTTTAAATACATTTATGCATTAAATGTACATTTCCCCACATTAACACCTTTGGATAAGTTGTTTTTTCAAATTGTCCTTTCTTATTAAACTAGATTTAAAATTATTAATATATCTGGCTGGTAACTGCCCAATTAATGGAGATCTTTCATCTGTAACTACAAACTGCACTTCATCCTTACCATGACATTAATTTACATATTTATTACATTTCATAACCTATCCTGACATGAACAGGTGCCTAGACAGAATTCTTAAAATACTCATAATAAATTAGTTCAGTTATTTCCCTGAGCCCTTCAGTGTTCCTGTGCAAACATCTTTCAGTGGAGGACGGAAAGGCAGAGGAATTGGTACATTGACCAGGTGAACAAGACAGCAGGCACAGGATAAAGAGATTTCTGCCGGGTACTTTCAGCTGGGCTCCTCAGTTTGCAAATGTATGTTGGCTCTGTAGTGGCACCGAGAACACTCACCCCATACAACCTGCTATTGTCTCTGCAGTAACAAGCCACAGCATTGCCAGACAACACATGGAAAATAAACCCATATAGAAAACATGGATGCTGCAGCCAAAATAACAGCAAGTACTTATAACGCGAGAATATAAGAAAGAAATGCAGCAAAATTAAGTGCAAACAACATTTATGTATATGCCTTCAGAAGTGTGTTTCTCGAGAAGCCAATATCTGTAACTGTAGCATGCAGGTTCATATGAAAGTGTTTTCAAACCATCCTTGGAGCAAATAGCTAAGTGTGATGAATATGGAAATAAAGTTTTATTTTATTTCCACTGAATAGCAAGGATATTCTTATGCAACATTCTACAAATACACCTTGCACACAAAATTAGTCTGCTGTGACTTGAGCCAGTCAAAACCACAGGAGTATTGCCGGTGCTGCAAACGGTGTCAGGGGTGGATTTTGTCAAAAAACAGGAAGGATAGTGGGGTCAGGTATTGCTAGTTCGCTATTCTTTTAAAGGGGGGGGGGGGGGAAGGCACTGGGTTGAATAGGTACTACACGAAACGGCCAACAGCAGGACCTGTCTGGAAATTAAAAAACAAACAAACAAACAAGCTGGCGGAAAGGAGCGGAAGGGGACTTAGGCATTCATTCACAAGAAACAGCAGTTTCGAAGCATCGCTCACGGAGCGCAGTTCCATCCACAGCTCAGGCAGAATTGAAAGCCGGGAGAAGCCCGACGGGCTCCTGCCCCACGAGGTTTCTGCGGGTCGCGCACCCGCGGCTGGACGGGACGGGACGGGACGGGACCACCCCGCGGCTGAGAGCACCGTGGCCTCCCACCCTCAGCACCCGCCTGCACCCCCCGGCCCGGCTCTCCCCGGCCCGGCTCTCCCCGGCCCGGCTCTCCCCGGCCCGGCTCACCCCGGCCCGGCTCTCCCCGGCCCGGCTCACCCCGCGGCGGCGGCGGCGGCTCCTGGGGGCGGCTGCGGGCGCTGCTGGAGCAGCCCATGGCGGGGCGGGCGGCGCTGCAGCCGCTCCCGACGGGACCGGGGCGAGTGAGGAGCGGCTGGAGGGGAGTCGGGCATCATCGACCGACGGAGCCGGGGGGCGGCCCCGGCGACGGAGCCTTAAAACACACCCCCGCGGTTCAGCCCGGGCCACCGCCGCGGTCGTCCCTGCCCCGGGGGCGGATTTCAGCGCTGTGTGCGGGTGCCCCAAGGTGTGAGTGGCAGCAGCCGAGGAGGGGGGACTGCAGGTCCGTGTGCCCCGTGAGTTTAACCCTGGGGCTGTGTACGTAAACCTCACGAGCAAGCTTCGACCCAGGTTGGTATCGAGGAGACCCATAATTCCGGGTAAGAGGGTCCAGGTCTGGAGGGGGATATCAGACGGATTTGAAGGCCATGCTGATGTTTGGGGGGCCATGACTGTGGCCGAGCTTATGAACCTGACACAGAGGGTGTGGGGTTTCTGTAGGGAACCCCAATCCGGACCAGCAGAGAGGAGCAGCAGGACTGGGTTATCTGCACTTAAGGTGTATGTGGTAGAGACGTGCCGGGGGTGTGTGCTCGTACACACACAGGGACCTCAGCGTCCCCACCGGCCCTCCCTACAAACGGGAACAGAAGTGGATGCATTCGTGGTACGGGAGAGGGAGACCTCTGGGGTCTCGGCAACTGGAAGGCAAGAAAGAACCCCTGGGCTGGAGATTCCTCTAGATTCAGCAGCTACCTGCAACATCCTTACCATGAGCCTTAAAGATAAAATAAAGAAAACATGATTTTTATACTTGCATGTAGGCAAATCAGCAGATGTCCAGGAAAGTCCAGGTGGCCTGAAAAGTTTCCAGAGAGTAAGAATGAAGAATGTTTGCCACACATTTTCTTGCATAAGCAATTATTGCACCCAAGACATGTTTCATTATGTCCTTCAAATTTAGAGTAATCACCCATTCTTCTAAATGAACATTTTTTATCCATCCAGAAACTTGTCCAGACAAACCATATTGTCTTTGGACATTTGTCCAGAGTGTGCAATGTCCCACAGCCAAGATGGAGCAGTAGCAATTACTCCAATAACTTCTGCAGTAACTTCTACTTCCTCTGTTTAAGTTAATTTTTAGGACCCTTTTTAAAAATAACAGAAAGAACCCTGTAGGCTATATGGATTTCTTCATGGCTATACATAAGATTTTAATCAGACACTTGGTGGTGAAATGCTGGTAACTTTAGCATCAGCAAAGTATTTAAGGGCATTTAAGGGCAAAAGCAGAAGTGCAACAAAGGGCTTAGCAACTTAAAAATTAGTTTCAGAAATATTTAATATTCATGCTGCTGGTGTAAAATCCTGAGTGTGCTTTGGTGGGAATGAGTTCCCTATACAGCACATGTGGGTTCCCTGCACAGCACAAATGAAGACACCCAGGCACCCCACTGCTCTGCTACCACAGGTAGGAAAGTAGAAGTGTCTGTGACTTGAAGGAGTACTGACAGCTGAGGAAGCTGCCTGGAGACAGCACATACGAAAGGGAGGGATGGCAAACATATCTGATTTCCCACTTTTCTTCTATGATCTTTCAGAGAATAAAGCAAGGAGGATGGGCCACCCGGACAGACTCATTGAGCACTGGAGACTGAGGGAAATAAAAAGGGAAAGCTACATTCAATTCCTACTCTTGCTTGAGGAGCTTTGTACCTGCTTCCCTCCGTGTCCTAGCCAAAGGGTAAGCTGTGCAGAGTGCACCTACTATCCATCTAACTTAAATAGCGGAGAAAGGCATCCAAGATTTACGAGGCCAGAGGGAACACGTGTGGGCATGTATTGGCAGCCACAGGCTCACCGAGGGGACCAGGGTGGGTCTGTACTTCACGTTCCTTAAACAGGCCTTGGACGAGATACAGAAATAGGAATGAAAACCCAAGGACCATTTGGGAGGTGACTCCCAGAATCACTAAATAACGATGCCATGGTCTTCTTTCCTCCTCCCATGAGTGAAGGAAAAGTTGCACGTTTTCAGCAGGAAGAGTCCAACAGAGCCAGTGCTGGAGCTGATATAGGTGGGGCTGTGGCAGGACAAGGCTACACCTCAGTGTATCAGCTGTTTTGCTACATACCAGGACAGGCTTGGACAATGTGTGCCCTCTGCAGAGTATTCATCACAAACACATTCCTGCAGGATAACTACATGCTGCTCTGCAGCTGCCTCTGTGCCACTGTCCTACCTTTTGGGAGCACAAGATTGTACAGAGCTTGTACAGAGTCCCAAAGAAACTACTGCAAGTGATCCAGTGGCTGCAGTATGATGTTGGGAGATGAAAATCCTTGGGAGCCTTCCCATCTATTTTCCTGAGCAAGGCACCTCTCCACAGACTCCCTGCCTTCTCTAATCTGAACCACCCTGGTACTGCCCCAAATGAAGACAGTACAAAAGTAGCTAAAAAAAACCCCATTTAACAGCAAATAAACTAAACAATCATCTCAAATTAGTTATTTTTTTACAAAGGAAAACTATTTTAGTCAGGAATATAAATTGGGAAATTAAAATTAAATGTAAACTGTGAGTGTTCAGGGATAGCTGTTTCTCCAGCAGTAAAGCATCGAATACCTATGACCTCTTATATACAAGCAGCAGTACACTTCTAAAAGCAAATTTCCAAGGCCCTGGCAATTTTCAAGTTCCCCAGACCAGTACTCCATGATCAAACTTGTTGCACTCATTGCAGGCTCACTAGCTATTAAAAATTTCGAGTACTATTCCTGCTGCAGCTATTAAATTTATTATCTATTTTCTGGTAGTCCCAAATCCTGGGACTTCCCAAATCACAGTGATTTTTCATAACATTATCTTAATCATGAGTTTTCTTCTTTGTGATTTCTTTTCTCAGCTCTCTGGCTATTCTGTACAGAAAGACCAGCACCTAACCAGGCAATAAAGTATTCTAAAATGTTTATCGTGTCAGATAATTCAGGCCAAATGTTCCACTGATCCAAATTTGTGTAGCTCCATTGAAGGCTTTTCTGTGATGCTAAGAACTGCCCTCTGAAATGGCTGTTTTGTTTCGCATGGGATGCAATGACCTTGAAACTTACTTCCTAGGACACACCTTGTAACTTCCTGGAAAGGAGGCAAACTGAAGATTTTCTTATCAAACTAGTTGCTATGTTTAGATATCCACACCTATGAATTTCTGCACAATATGGCTCTTAGAAAATGCAGTATCTTGTTGTACAGGCACTGTATTTAAGCTGGCTACACATCTAGGTATCCAAATGTATGTGTTTATATATGTATATGTTTATGTATGTGCATACACACACTTCTAAGCATGCTTTCACTGGCTGAAAATCTACCCAAGTTGTGCAGATATCCAGGTATTCACAACAGACTGTATTTAACCTCAAGATTTTCCCTGTTCCCTAATGAGATAGCCTTTCAGCACTTGACCCATTTTCCTACTTAACTCCTTTCTTTCCTTCCTTCCTTTCTCATGTTAAAGGTGATGCAAGGGTGGCCAAGGAGAGGTTTGCATACAGATGCGGTGGACCTGTGCCTTACTGGGATTTCAAATTCCCAGCAGTCTGAAATAAGCTGCATTTGTCTGCCTGACAATACAGGGGATAGTTCGGTGCATGACCGTGTGAAAACCGGATGAACATGTTTGCATTCACTGTAAATGTGATGATTATCAGAGAACACAGTCTGTCACCTTTAATAGCCCTGATGTGCAAAAGTAAAAAATAATGGCTGCAGGTGTTCACACAACGTGGTTGCATAATGTGCAGAGACTTGACCAGACTATAAATCTAAGAAAAAGCAGGATTGTGTTTTTGCATATTTAATCCTATCAAAATAGTATGTTCTATTCATTTTGGTAAAATAAAGATGTAGGCCTAGCTTTTCAAAAGATCGGTCTTCTTTTTTGAATTGAACCTCATCTTTCAGGGTTAGCATGTGACTTCTGGCACCTGAAGGGCAGCTGTAGATCTGTTGTCCCCCTTTCAGCAGCTTTAGCAGATCAAAAGCCCCCCCCTCCACTGTCACATCACACAACATTTCCTTGAACTTTGCTGGCAATGGGTCAGTACCTCTTACTGCTTCAGGGACCTGGCAGCTCTGTCAAGGAGCTCTACCCGTTGTCTGCTGATGCTCAGGGAAGGGGGATAAGCAGGGGTACAGCTTCAGATGTTCCTCTACATCTCTGGCTGTCAGAGTGATCCCCATTTTCTCACAAGGTCAGCAGTGCTGCCACTTCAGCTTTATGAAGATCTCAGAAGTTCAGAGAATTTAACAGAATGATCCATCCCAGCCTGTGCCATAGGGTGCCTGTGTACTGCTCATTTTTCAGACTTCAGAATGATTTTTTCTCATTCTCCTTTTCTCTTTTTCCTTTCCAGCCTTTTCTCTCAGTTAACTATACACCACTGCTCTCCAGATTGAATTAAGTTATCTCCCTCTCCACTGGAAACCCTGTTCCTGCTCTCTTACTAGGTAAGCACAGACTAAGGCCAGGGTGGGAGAAGCAGTAGGGGAGGAGGAGTGGCTTCACTTTCCCTAAGTACTCTCCATTCCCTGCATGCTCATCTTCACTGACAAACTGAGCACCAGCCTGCAGAGCCCCTCGGCCGGAGTAATACCTGACTCCACCAGAGAAAATCTCCCTGGCTGAGCATGGTGGGACAGGCAGGAGGGCTGGATGAGACCACAGTGTCTGCTCTTAGTGCTGGGAGAAGTAACGCTGGTTTTCCTGAGGTTTCCAGCTGCTCCCTGGATCTTTCCATCGTGAGACTTTGTGCTGGTTTAAGAGTTAACCAGCAGGGGAAATGAACTCAACTCAAAGGAGAGATTATAAATCAGAATAACAATTTACTAAAATAATACAGTAAGTACAATCATACAAACAAACAATTGGTCTTAACCCACAAAACCCAAATGTATAACCCAGTACCCTGGGGCATGAACAACGTGGTGTTCCTTGGGCCCCGCTTGAGTCCAAAGTAAAGGGAGAGGGGAAGAACCTGCTGGTGGGAGAGCTGTTGCAGTCTAGTCAAAAGTGGTGATTGCAGT